TTGCATATTCACCAATGGTAGTAAATTATAGTAAAGTCGGGTAATGTTTAGTTTGTTTCCAGTATCGGACATGACAATGGTAGTAGATACAAGTCTACAAGTAGATACAAGTTTAGTTCGCTGTGCACGAAAATCTGGATTTACCAATGGTAGTAAATGATAGTAAAGTCGGGTAATGTTTAATTTGTAATCAGTAGCGGATTTTTACAATGGTAGTAAATAAAAGTCACGTCTGGTAATGTCGGTGGGGATAACTACCGATAACGATACCAATCTGCGGGGTCACACACGGGGGGGGGTCCTTATCCTTCACGCTTGTCTCAAGGACAAAGGCACTGCTCGAAAAGTTGCATATTCACCAATGGTAGTAAATTATAGTAAAGTCGGGTGATGTTTAGTTGGTAAACAGTATCAGACATGACAATGGTAGTAAATAAAAGTCTAGCCTGGTAATTTCGGAGGTTTGTTCAGTTCGCAGTGCACGAAAATCTGTATTTGCCAATGGTAGTAAATTATAGTAAAGTCTTGTAAATTTCAAATGTTTACTATGTAGTCAGTATTGGACATGACAATGGTAGTAAATGTCAGTAACGTCGGGTAATGTTTACTTTGTTTCCAGTATCGGACATGACAATGGTAGTAAATGCCAATAACGTCGAGTAATGTTAACTATGTAGTCAGTATTGGACATGACAATTGTAGTAAATGCTGGTAAAGTTGAGTAATGTTTACTCTGTAATCAGTAGTGTATTTTACAATGGTAGTAAATAAAACTCAAGTCTGGTCATGTCGGGGGATAACTACCGATAACGATACCAATCTGCGGGGTCACACGGGGGGGGGGTCTTATCCTTCACGGTTGTCTCAAGGACAAAGGCACTGCACGAAAAGTTGCATATTCACCAATGGTAGTAAATTATAGTAAAGTCGGGTAATGTTTAGTTGGTAAACAGTATCAGACATGACAATGGTAGTAAATAAAAGTCTAGCCTGGTAATTTCGGAGGTTTGTTCAGTTCGCAGTGCACGAAAATCTGGATGTACCAATGGTAGTAAATGATAGTAAAGTCGCGTGATGTTTACGTTGTGTAATACCGGTATCGGACATGACAATGGTAGTAGATTAAAGTGAATTCTGGCAATTTCGGTGTTAATGGTAGTAAATGAAATTACTGAAGTTGAGTTTTTTTATTTTCTTGAACTTCACTTAATTGGCATTCACTGCCGTTGGTAAATCAGTGCAGTGAGGGTGTAATAAATTCACGTTTTTAGTAAAAGCATATTTTTTATTTCGGTGGAAATGTGTTTTTAAAAGGTTTTCTATATAGATGGAGAAATCCCGCAGAGATTGTAGCCACAGGACGGGTACTTAGTAAGTAGAGTTTATCACATAATGCCCTAACGTATCTCTCAGTGCAGGAGAAACTGATGATGGAAACATTCTGCAATGTTTTATCTTGAAATTTCAGTCACGTCAGCAAATCAACGAGCCAGATGCTCTGAGCTGATACGGCTGTTTCGCCGGGAACAAAAGAAAGAAATGATTTAAGGAAGAACGTTTATCACCCGTCTGTTCGTATATCAGGGAGAACATTTCCGGGTACTGAGGTACTGTGTTCCAGGAAACTCGCCATATATGGCGCTGTGTTCCAGGAAATTTACCATATATGGTGCTATATGTTCCAGGAAACTCTCCATATGTGGTGTTGTGGTACAGGAAACTTACCATGTATGGTGCTGTATTCCAGGAAACTGCTCTCTGACTTACCATATATGGGATGGGCTGTTCTAAACTCAATATTTCTCTTGTATTTGCATTGTGTCCAACATTTTTACTGTGTTCGTCATTGGGTGGGAAATTGGACATGGGCTTCCAATATCTTTGCTTTTCTATTACGTTGTGTTACATATGTATCATCATCTGTATTTTCTTCATATTGGATTAGTTTTTGTTAACTTATTCTCTCATTATGTGTAGGTGGTAGCGTTAGAATAAGTCTTAGCTACTTGAGTACGCTACCACCTTGCGTTGAACTGTCTTCCTTAATGTGTGAGCAATAAAAAAAACGGTTCGTCGCTCCAGGAAGAGACATCTCGCACGTGTGGTCTGTTGTGATAAGGCGGGAAGAGGAAGCCAGGTTCATAAAGAACGAGGTTCTTCCTGGAAGTTGGCGGTTAATCGTGCTTTACGTGTAACATGATACCTGCATACACAAACCCGCGTCAAGGTCACACAACTGGCATTACAGAAGCTTCAATGTAGTTTCACTGTATAAATTAACGCGCTCGCGCGTTTCGAAACGGCAATGTATTTGTCTTTATACATTTACCTTTACCTAGTCCATTTGATTGATTTATACGTGTGTGTATATCAGTAGTATTAGGGATGTGGGGAGAGAGAGAGAGAGAGAGAGGAGAGAGAGAGAGAGAGAGAGAGAGAGAGAGAGAAAGGGGCGAGAGAGAGAGATGGTTAGCTTGTAATCAGAGTATATGTTGTGGTACTGTCCTTGGTGCTGAAATACGTGATGCATTATACAGAAATTATATACATTATCAGCGTGAGGGATGTAGTCACCGTTTCTTACAGTTTCGCTAAGACGTGTTTTTCTCTTGTGTTTCTGTAGGTGGAGGAGCTAACAGAAGAACAGATAGCGGGTGAGTACACTTTTGTACAGTTTTGTACTTTGCATTTTTTATAAACGTTTCAATATACGGCGACAATAGGGGAGTGCCTACACTGTTGCAACGTTAGGAATGTATCTACATTCTCTTTCGGGGCGTAAGAGTTTTATTCAACAAGAAAAACAACATACATCGTTAATATTACACACATTTAAGAACCCTAGGGCAGCCCTTTGTTATATTCAGTGGACCCAAGTATGCAATGGACAATTTCAATTTCCCCCAAAAATTATAAGCGCATACATATTTTCAATCCTAAAGCTACTTTTTTGTGGATACAATACTAAAATGTTTCACTGAATCCAGACCGTAATATGGCCTCAGTGGGGCTTCTCTAATGATAGATGATGGTACCACGGTACTCTATTGTCGATGGTGTCCCCCAGTGAGTGATCAGTTCACTTCCAGTGAGTCCCATGTAGCGCTCTGATCGGTAATGACTCGATCATTATCTCCAATAGACCCCATTGGAAACCTAATAGAGCTCCGACGATATCACATTTCCGTGCTGCACTTGTCCATGGTTTGTTAGGCCGCGATGCAATAGCGGAGGGCGGCGTCGAATGGCCGGGTGATTATAGTATTTTTTTCTGTTCCAACATTTATTACAAGACATGGCGACGGCACACGCAAGTTTTTACCTCCATGAAAAATGGAGGTATTGTTTTTGGCGTGTCTGTCTGTGTGTCTGTGCTTCCACACATTTGTAGTCAGCATAACTTCATAACGCCTTTATGGATTATGATGATATTTGGTATGTTGGTAGGTCTTAGGAAGACAAAGGTCAAGGTCAAATATGGGCCTCCTGGTAGATGACCTTGGTACTGCAGCAGAACTTCCGGTTTTTGTATCTTTTGTCCTGAACATGCTATGGTCTTGATGTTTTGGTGACAGATTGCTTTTCCTGTCAGGAATAAGTGGTGTGGGTTTGGTCCCCCTAGCAGCTTGTTCTGGAACTGCATTGTTAAGCCGATGCAATAGCGTAGGGCGGCGTCGAATGGCTGAGTGATTATAGTATTTTTTTCTGTTCCAACATTTATCACAAGACATGGCGACGGCACACTCAAGTTTTTTCAACTTATTTTCATGCCCTAGACATAGTGCATTAACAACCCACTGCCCCTATAGTCTGAAAGGTTTTTGTTGATTGGCTGGTCACCGTTGCATTCGAATTTTGTCCGCTGCATGCGATATATTTTCCAACACAACATTTGAAAACTATAAGACGGGACGTCGTCCTTATATACGCGAACACAATCTTATACCATACGTTCTGCCAAAGCGCGTCAGAATTTTGTCCGTTGCATATACGGTATCTTTTTCAACATACCATTTGGAAACTACAGACGGGATATCATCCTAGTACAATTTTAACTTTATACCAACACAAGGGTACAAAAGGATCTAATTTTCAACGATCACAGAGCTGTCGCCGTCAATAGCATATCATCCTCATATACAGGAATTCGACCTTATACGATACGTTCTGCCGACGTACATCAGCATTTTGTCCCGTTGCAGACGATATCTTTTCATACCATTTGGAAACTGCAGACAGGGTATCAACCTTATATACGCGAACACGACCTTATACGACCCGTTCTGCCGAAGAGCTACATCTTTTTTTTTATTCCAACATGTAATCACCAGACGTGGTGACGACACACTCAAGTTTTTTCAACTTATATTAATGCCGCCACCAACACAGGGGACAAATACATGACAGGACAATACTCATTTACACCTGAGCTAAGTGAGGAAAGCCGTGTAAAGTGCCTTTCCCATGGCCAAGGGCACAAGATCGGTGGCATGTCAGGACTCGAACCCGGGACTCAAAGTTCCGAGTCGCGCACTCTGCCGCTACGCCACACGACCAGCGCTTGATCCGGGGAATGACAGATGTGTGACAGACAGAAACAGACGACTGCATTAGTGGCAATGGCAGTCGATTCGGGGTAAAAGCAATGGACGGAAGGTTGAGTGGAAATAACTGGCCAGGCTGAAGAGTCATCGATCATCCGGTCTCTGCTCGGCCAGGGTGGTCAGAATCCGGTCCGCGGAGACCGTCTCTATTTCACTACAGGTTAGCCCTGGATCGCCACAGCTGCCGTCATCAATAAAGTACACCATGCACCCTTCCACACCATGCACACACACCTACACACACAAACACATACACACACACACAGACGGAAACACACACACACACAGACGGAAACACACACACACACACACACACAGACAGACACTGCAGCGTGACAGACGCCCCACCTCCACGCCTACACAGACCGATACCCGCCGGGGTTAATAAAGTCCCTATCGTGTCGGCGGCTGAGTTATGTCTGATAGAGCCTTACTGAGTGGCGTGTAGGAAAGTAGCCTCGGGAAACGACTAGATTGGGAAGAGTTTTCCTTCCTATATCAAGGTATATGTTACATGTAAGATGCCACGCGCGCGGAAACACACACACACACACACACACACACACACATACACACTCACACACACACTCACACACGCGTACACACCACACACATGCACACACACACTCACACACACACACACACACACACGCGTACACACCACACACATGCACATACATACATACACACACACACACACACACACACACACACACACACACGTACACACATACGCACACACACACAACCTAAGTTGAAAGGCTGCCAACTCTCTGGGCTAAACACCATCCTTTAATGCACCTCCCCGTTATCAGATGCTATTACAGCGGTTTCAATGTCTACCATTCAGTCGCGGCACCACACACAATCCCACTCTTCCACTGACAGCCCAAATCTCTGCGTACTTTCTATCAGGTCCGACGTCGTTACGCGTCGATAGCAGGTCGTTCTGACGGAATTAGAAGCTCGCAAAACCCGCCGTTTAGGACGGGCGGAGACGTGGTTACTGGTGCGTGGGACGACGTACGTCTCATCACAACAGCTCGTTACTTTTTACGGAGCGACTTTGTAGTGTTATTGGGGGCGTGTGAGGCCAAGGACGTCGAAATAGGGTAATCAGGAATAAAGTAATGGTGTGGTGGTAAAAACACTGGCAGTGCAAGGCAGAATTCAGGGAAGAAGGCAGAATTGAGTTTTACAATGAGTCAATGACGAAGAGAGAAGACATAAAGATACCTATACCTATATATATCTTACCTGCACTAACATGGATATACCCAGTACATGGACCAGTGCAGGTTAGGTGCATGTAGACATCAGATATACCTGCACAGTCCCAATTGTACCTCCTCTAACCTACATGTAAATATATATGCGCAGATGTTGCGTTCTATTGCGTCAGCCGTAAACCAAACATACCCTAGTTAAAAGGGAGGCAATTCGAAGATGCAGCAGAGGCTCCCTGACATCTTCCTACAAGATTCCAGTTGCCCAGAGGTCACTTTCACGGAGCAGGATTTCAATAAACGTGGCAGAGAGATTGTGTTGACCTTGACCGCTCAAGGTCAAAAGGTCGCCTCTCCTGATATCTTTAGCAATGTCCTCACGGGATGACCCTGGTGACCTCATCAAACATGGCGGCCTTCCCGGCATCATCGGGGTTAAAGGTCAAGACATCGTGCTCGACAGTGCGTTTATATGAGACTGAGAATCTGAAGAGTGTTGCTCATACAAATGACACTTAAGACTGGAAAAGATCCTCAGTCACAGGACCTTGCAACACCCAAGTTACTTTTCCTACGACTTGAATCCTCAAGGAGTAATAAAGAGAGAGAGACAGGAGAGGGAGAGAGAGAAAGAGAGAGAGAGAGAGAGGAGGGAGGCAGAGAGAGAGACGGAGAGAGAGAAAGAAAGATGCAGAGGCAGAGAGAGAGACGGAGAGAGAGAGAAAGAGAAAGACAGAGAAAGAGCATATCTCTTCAACAACAGTTTGGTTGCACAGTGGAACAGTATACTAGTATGTTGGAGGAGGCATTGGTAGCGCCCAATACGAATTGCGACTTCACAACTACTTGGAGTATCATCCAGTGATGTATAACTACATACACCAGAAACGACAGAAAAATAAAGAGAAGCCTCAACTCAAGGAAGCCCGAATTCCTACCAGGCCGAATGATCTACCGTACTCTACTCTTGAAAGTGAAATACTTTTAATGCTCTGTCGTTGACGTACTTCAACATTTGTATCAAAATTTGCCATCTTACCGCAAGCCGCCCCCATGCATTAGCGTTATAACCTGGAAACTTAGCCTGGTGTCCAGCCTTGTTACCGCTTTAGTCCGCTCCGACCCAAGATCCCAGCCATTGGAAACCCAGATTTCCTACCAGGCGAAAGGATCTACTGTACTCTGCTATTGCGTGAAACGTTTTTCGAGCTTAACGTACTTAAACATTTGTATCAAACCTTACTATCGGCTGCCACCATACCGCAAGCCGCCCCCACGCATTAGCGTTAACCTGAAACCTCCAACCCTGGCCACATCGGAGTCCAGCCGTGGGGTGCGCTGCGTTGGTGTTCGGTAAGAGTAAGAGTTAACAGAGCAGACCATATGCGAAGGGAAACATTATGCATTTGCTTTGCAAATGTTACATTTGTAGTTATAAATTATTTTCAGGTTTTCTGTCCGCTCTGGTCCTGATGCACGCCTACCTATGTAAGCTTAACTGACACTACTGTTTTCAGGATTGACATGCGAAACTTTCTAGGCGTTACTAGTATCAAACCTTACTATCGGCTACCTAATGCCGCCCCCATGCATTAGCGTTAACCTGGAAACCTCCAACCCCACATCGGCCGTGGGGCGCGCTGCGTTGGTGTTCGGTAAAAGTCAGGGTTCAGAGTTTTCAGAGTTTCAGATAACAGAGCAGCACTTTACTCCTGTGCGTACATCACCCGGCAAAGGTGGGATGGTTTTTAGGAAGGCGTAGTAGGTTTCCCATGTCAGTCCGGAAAACAGTAGTGTCAGTGAAGCTTACATAGGTAGGCGTGCATCAGGACCAGAGAGTCCACAAAACATGAAAATGATTTATAACTAGAAAAGTAACATTTGCAAAGCAAATGCATAATGTTTACCTTCGCATATGCTCTGCTCTGTTAATTCTCACTCAAACGCGTTCACGAAATGGTGACAGGAGTCTAAATCCCTCCTACTATAGAATTGCAACATTATGTAACCCAACACCAGCTACCATGGTGATAGACGTCCGGTTCATTCAGATCAGAGGTCACTGTTTGGAGAAGAAGAAGAGGAGGAAACGTATCAAATACATGTTTTCCATCGGTAAGCATAATAAATAGTACACTCGTATACTGGTTCTGTTAGTCAAAGACAACTCTGCAATACATATAATCTCTTCTGCAAGATAAGCTAGGTCATCAGCTCCAGGGCTAGCCTGGGTCCCAGACTCTTGCCAGGGCCTGTATGCAAATGTACAGGCCTGCTCCACGACTTCAGGGCTAGCCTGGGTGGCAGACTGTTGCCAGGTCCAGTATACAGGCTAGCTCCTCAACTCCAGGGCTAGCCTGGGTGCCAGACTGTTGCCAGGGCTAGTATACAGGCTTGCTCCTCGGCTCCAGGGCTAGCCTGGGTGCCAGATTGTTGACTGGCGTGTGTATTGGACATGAGAACAGTCTGACTTCCGGGGCAGTGGACTAAGCTTCACGTGCACAGTTTCACTAAGCCAGCCTTGACTTACTTCAAACACGATGTGCGTCATACAGGTACCTATCTCGCCACGACTCGCTGGCAATGGTACATGGATTACTCACTCCAGCACGTTGGATGCGTATTTTCTGGGAAACACGTGAAGATAGCGACCGTGTGCGGCGTGTAATCACCCATTGCCGCGTCCTTGATGGTCACTCCTGACGAGGAAAGACGTCAGAACTCCGAGAAGCATCCAGCTGTAGATCGGGCACGTGAGAGGAAACACACGTGCAATTTTTGACTGGTAACATAGCACTACATTTTGTTGTAAGACACGGTAAAGTGAGCAGAATTTCCAGTTTTATGTCCACTGACCTGGAAGTCAGGCTGTTCTCATGTCCAATACACACGCCAGTCAACAGTCTGGCACCCAGGCTAGCCCTGGAGCTGAGGAGCTGGCCAGTATACAGATCCTGGCAAAAGTCTGGTACCCAGGCTAGCCCTGGAGCCGAGGAGCTAGCCTGTATATTGGCCCTGGCAACAGTCTGGCACCCAGGCTAGCCCTGGAGCCGAGGAGCTAGCCTGTATATTGGCCCTGGTAACAGTCTGGCACCCAGGCTAGCCCTGGAGCCGAGGAGCTAGCCTGTATACTGGCCCTGGCAACAGTCTGGTACCCAGGCTAATGTCCATCGACATGAGTTCCAAGTTTGCTTGAGAGACATATCCAGGATAACTGATGGGCCCTTGTCAGAAAGCCACGCGGGGATTTGGACACAATGACTGGTGATGGAGCACTGGATGGGGCGACGCATTTCCTGCGAACATTTACACCCTCCCCCCTCCTGCCGCGAAGATTCACTCCTAACCGATTTCCCTTCACAGAACGACACGGTAACATGGGCACGTGTGAAGAATTTAGTTGTTTAATTTTATTTATTGAGATTTGCCACAGTTGTGTGAGGATTGACATAACAGGGGGTACCACGTTTTAACACGGAGACCAGACTGTAAAATTTGAACCACTCACATCGGGATGGACCCCCGCTATTTCTGATAAGTGTGATGTGGTTTTTTATTCGTGCTTGAGGTGTTGTTCTCCTCATCCATTTATCGCCCTATTCAAAGGACGTCCCTAACCGAAGCTAGGTACTAAGACCAATTTTTTTACCGGCGTCCAGCGAGGAAATAGGTGTTAAGTACTTTTTCCAACGGCACAACATTGGGGCTTGCCAGGAATTTGAATCCAGAACCTTTAGATTATAAACAAGAGCTATCTTTCATGCGGAATTCGTGACCCTAGTATGTTCAAATATCAAAACCGGACGTTCTGGTGCAGTACCAAGGAAAGCCGCCAGGGCTACACACAGAAATCTAATCATTTCTAGGTCTCATATCTAATCATTTCTAGGTCTCATCAAGACCTACATGTACCCACCTACCAAGTTTCATGACAATGCATATAAAGCTTCTTGAGTTATACTGTTCACAGACAGACAAACGGACAAACACTACGGAAAACATTATTAACCTTCTTGGTGAAGGTAATCATCAGTCAGAGGAACCAGACTGGCTAATAGTACTGCGCCAGATGGTCACCTGCCGATATTACGGCAATATGTTTCCTCACGCAACATTTCCGCCGGAACATTTGTGTCCGCCTGCATGAAAATTCATTTCAAGTGTGGTGTGACGGAAGTAGCCTCCGTAGCAGGCTTATAGAACTGGGGGTTTGGTGGTCTTCGGCTGTTTTCTAATTAGCCCAATTCTAAAAACGGGGGTGATTCAACCAGGCTGGCTATGTTGTCTATATGCAATCAGAAAATAGCACATAAAAGCTCCCAAAGACCACGAATACCCCCCCCCCAACCCCCAGTTTTTGGCATGCTATGGAGGCTATGATGGAAGACTGCAGGAAGCGAGTCCAACGCACCCCGACCGAAACGTCTGATCTGTATGCGTCTCGGAGGCTATTTTCCGTCTCGTGTACGGTCGTTGCCAGTTGAAACGGTCGATACCATAATCTCAGAACGGCAAATTTTGGCCTCATTCACACTAGGATAAAATTGTCCGGATCAAGCCGAATTGATTCGCTTTGATCCGGCTTAGAGCTGGCTTGGATCCGGATCGAACCGGATTGGAGCCGGATCGAAGCCGGATTAAAGCGAATAAATACGGCTCGATCTGCATACATGGTTGTGCAAACAGAGTCTCTTTATTCACTTTTAGTATGTTTGAAATACTCTGACCTTGAAGCATTTTGTTGTATGTTTTTAAACTTTAATTTAACCAAAAGATGTAACTAATTCTGACCTCAAAGCAGTTTTGGCAGAAGTTACTTCCTACTTGCAGCTTCTGTCTACTTCTGGAAATGATTGTGTTCCGATTTGAATTTACACTTTTTTTGTCTTTTACAGAATTCCGCGAAGCCTTCAACCTTTTCGACAAAGATGGCGGCGGTGACATCAGCGTGAAGGAGCTTGGGAGCGTGATGAGGTCACTGGGTCAGAACCCGACGGAGCAGGAGCTGCAGGACATGGTCAGGTCTGTGGACCAGGACGGTACGTCACCGATTCGTGGGTAGCCTGTACCAGGACTCGGGAGGCGGCTGGAAAGAGTAGAAATTGGCCAAATAGGGAGATAACATGCCAGGGGAGTTGGTCCGCTAGAAAAGTAGTTTGCCGCACCTGAGCATGTTATCTCTCTATTTTGTCAATTTCTACTCTTTCCAGCCGCCTCCCGAAGCCTGGTAGAGGCTAGTTCTTGTGCACAAACAATGGAAATGCATGCGGCACTTGCCAAGCAGTACATTTGCTTTATAGGAGGAGCTGCAGGACATGGTCAGGTCTGTGGACCAGGACGGTACGTCACCGCTTCGTGTGCACAGACAATGATGATTCGTACTATTACTGTTGTATTTGGGATGACCCTGGTCTATATATCTAAATTGAAAACGGCCAAGAAGCTGATTTCAGTATTTCGGGGAAGGGTTTTTAACTAACTAACCCTAAACACTCTACGAAAACTTGAGCTTACCAATGACGATAAAGACCAGATAAGACTGGTAATGGACATAAATGGTTGATTTGGGCATTTGATGATTATAAGGAGACAATTACCAGGTTTATCCTACATGTATGGCTAATGTTTAGGAAACCATTCACAGATATATATGTTTTCTGCCATGTTCTTATTACCTGGATGTCTTACCTTCACCGACGTACCTCCACTGAACGTGTTGTTTTCTGCGTGTTTCCGCAGGTAACGGCACGATAGACTTTAACGAGTTTCTGCAGATGATGCAGAAGGCCATGAAGAGTGACGTAGACAGCGAGGCAGAGCTGAAGGAGGCGTTCCGGGTGTTCGACAAGGTACGACTTTTCACTTCCGGGTCACCAGCTTACGGAAGTATTGTTCTGGGTGGCTAAGCCCTGTGTGTGTGTGTGTGTGTGTGTGTGTGTGTGTGTGTGTGTGTGTGTATGTGTCTGTGTGTGTGTGTATGTGTCTGTGTGTGTGTCTGTATATATATATATATATATGTGTGTGTGTGTGTGTGTGTGTGTGTGTGTGTGTTTGAACGGACAAGAGTAGGTTGAAAGCACATGGGTGAGAGGAAGATTGACAGATAGAATGGCAGAAGGGACAAGTCTCAGAATTTGACCTGGAGCATGGCTGGAGGCAATCACTTCCTGGGAGTCGGATACATTATTCAATTTCTTGCTTTGTTCTTCTTTCTTTCTTGTAGACGTCTTTCATCTTTCCTTGTTTCTCGCCACTCTTAACTCTCCCGCCGACGGAAAACATATTGTTTTTACTCCTCTTCTTCTCCAAACAGTGACCTATTGCCTGGCCAATGACATGATTTGTTGGCGTCTGTCACCATGGTGACTGGTGTTGGGTTACATAAAGTTGCAATTTCATGGTCTGCTCTGCTCCTGTCACCATATACTACTAGTACATGTATGTGAATGTGTTTGAGTAAGAATTAAAAGAGCAGATCATGTCCGAAGGTAAACAATATGCATTTGCTTTGCACATGTTAGTTCTCTAGTTTTGAGAATGACATACTAGTGTACTCGTGTGTCGTCTACAAAATCCCAGTATTGACAGCCTCCAGACAACCTGCTCTAATAAAACTTTTATCACAATACTCCTGTGACTTCTCCAGCCGCAGGCACCATCTATAGATTCCACGGCGCGTTCTACAACGACTCAAGCATGTGATGCGCACTTAACTTAACCCACTTGGTTTCCTCATCAGTGATATCATGCCACTAAAGGCCTTTACCATCGCTGATTGATTCGGCTACAAAGAGAAGTAAATAGAAAAACGACTACAAAGTAAGGCTTAATCCCCTGAAGTAGTAAACGCCCTGGGTTTGATTAGCTTCTGCAGTGCTTGTTGTCCAAGCGCACTGCTTCACTGATGTGTAGCTGCTTCCATACGTGATCGGACTGTAGGTTATTACAGAGCAAGTGGCCGTCTGGTCCAGGTCATTGACCTTATTTGCTTGGAAAGGAAGAAGAAGGAGAAGAAAAACAGTGGGGTCGTGTGGCGTAACGGTAGAGTGTTCTACTCGGAACCAAGAGGTCCTGGTGGGTTCGAACCCTGCCATGCCACCGATCTTGTGCCCTTGGAAAGGCACTTTACATGACTTCGCCACGGGGAAAATGAGTACTGTATAATTGTCCTCGGTGTTAGACTGGAAGTAAGAAACAGAACAAAAACAATATATTTTTCCTCTTGCAAAGGTAAACATACTAAATCTTGAAGTGATTGGTCATTAATTGTCCTGATGAAGTCGACAGTGGTCGCTGAAAATTTGATCTCTCTGTAAATTGTGTGTTGGAACACAGATGAACTTCAATGAAAACCCGTATATGACTGTCTCTTGTCACGTGATTATCCCATCAAGTCACATGACAAGGGAACTCCAAGTCGAGATCTTAACCGTGTTGAAGAAGAGACAGAGTGCTTCTCGAAAGCTCCCCAATGTAGCTGAGCTTTAGTTGTGTGTTTTGGTATGTATTTTTGTCAAAACTTGTTTATGTTTTTTTCCTCCACAGGACGGCAACGGCTTCATCAGTTCAGAAGAATTGCGTCATGTCATGACGAATCTCGGGGAGAAGTTGACGGACGAGGAGGTGGAGGAGATGATAGACGCTGCCGACATCAACGGAGACGGACAGATAGATTACGAAGGTACGGAGCCACAACTTGTTCACGTGTCAGTCACGTGTCAGTCACGTGAAGGTCATGTAACGGTCACATGAGCACTCTACTTGGGGAGCGTTCTTCCCTCACTCGAAAGACACATAGATTATGAAGGAAAGTAAACATGGTGTTCCGTCCACGTGTCAGTCACGTGAAGGTCATGTGATTGTCACGTGGACTCTCAAATTACAGCCTCATGGCTTCTTTTTTTGTCATCAGTGGATGGACAGATAGATTACGAAGGTGGGGAGTCACGCCCTGTTCACGTGTCCGTCACGTGTTAGTCACGTGAAGGTCATGTGACGGTCACGTGGACTCGCAAATTACAGCCTCATGGCTTCTTTCTTGTCATCAGTGGGTTGACAAATGGATTATAAAGGTGGGGAGTCACGCCTTGTCCAGTGTGTCAGCCACGTGGAGATCATGTGATGGTCATGTGGACTCAAATTCGGGAGTTTTCTCCCACCTCAATCGAAAGACACACAGATTATGAAGGTACAGACTCGTGCCTTGTTCAAATGTCAGTCACGTGAAGATCATGTGATAGTCACGTGGGCAATATGACATGTAATCCAACGCTACAGCACGAAGCCCATGCCTTCTTCGTCACTCGAAAGACACATAGATTGGGGGCATTTGCACTGGAATTTTGTGAATTTACCCAACCCTCTGGGTGAAAAAAAATCCAGTGCAAAAGAGAAACACCGATAAAAAAGCCTAAAAGCACGCTGAAAATAAAGCCAAACTCAAACCTCTGCTTGGAGAGGATGGTTACCCGGCCGTGGACAGAGTTATGAATGGGCCCGTCCCCATTGAGCCGGGGTAATACGGCGAAATGGACTCATTACGAACGGCCGGGCCGGCGCCAGGCGGGTTCACTGGAAAAGCGATAATGAATATGAGGAACATATGCACAGCAGCGAGTCAAGGGCGGTCTGGGGAAGGTCCGTGATGTTGTTGTTGTATTCCAGAAACGTGTTCACTGCCAAAACATGATTTGGAATATTACGAATATGTATCTGTATTCCAAAACGTGGCCCATTCCAAAACATGGCCCATTCCAAAACGTGACCCTTTCCAAAATGTGGCCCATTCCAAAAACGTGGCCCATTCCAAAACGTGACCCAATCCAAAACGTGGCCCAATCCAAAACGTGGCACATTCCAAAACGTGGCCCATTCCAAAACGTGGCCAGTTCCAAAACGTGGCCCATTCCAAAACGTGACCCATTCCAAAACGTGACCCATTCCAAAACGTGGCATGGCCCATTCCAAAACGTGGACCGTTCCAAAACGTGGCCCGTTCCAAAAAATAAGTAAGTCATAAGTCAAGTCAAGCGCAGAATCATAAGTAAGTTATAAGTCAAGTCAAGTTTAAAAATAAACTTTTTGCAAGCTCCTGAACCTGTGCCAAAGTTAGCAGAATTTCTCGCTATATAGTGCCAATTTCATTGAATGAAAGTCCCACGTTTAATCACACCGATACTAAAATCGATAGGCTGCATTGCCTGTGCCAAACCAAACCATTACCACTCAGGGCTTGAATCACAGCATCTATAGATGTTCGGTTTCAATATGCTGAGTCTTAACCACAGCCAGAACTTTGTAATAAGGCCATGTTGATTTGACTATATGGATGACATCCACTGGGAACCCCAAAACTGATGCGAGCGTGCGAATAAAAAAAGTTTGGCCAAAAAAATTGCTTTCATTATGAAATCCACGTGGTTTTGAAGGTTGAACAAATGACACAAAGATTATCATGAAAGTTCATCTGTGTTGGTAGTAATCATAGTAAAGACTTGTAAATAGTGTGTTGGAATAAAGTTTAACGTTTTACTATAAATGACACAAAGGTTTGGCGAATAATCTAGTCTTCAAATTAATTTCTCCAGAGGACGTCATCCATAAAAGTACTTGATGTAGCCTAAAATCAGTAAGGTGGCCAGACTTTTGGGTGATCCATCAGGGAAACCCGCAGCGATTGTTCACGGTATCGATCCAGCCGACAGTGACGCATCTGCGGCAACCCAGTTGCCTTTGAACAAACTCTGCGCGTGAATGAATGCATGAATAAATGCGATGCAGGTGTACAGAGTGAGCAATCCTTCAACTGGATTTGAAAGATGAAGAGACAAGGGCTTACAGCCTGGAATCTGGAAAAGCATGGCACGTATCCGGAACCGTCTTCGTTTTTTCTTACATTCCACACTAGACTGCGACCGACCGTACGTACAGCGACCAAAATATGTGTAACCATTCATTCTATTATTGGAATATGATGCAAAAAGTATGACTTAAAAGGCATGAAGCTTAATAGAAAAATAGTTTTTTGTCTTGCATGAAATTCTTTGAGAATCTGTCAATCTTTGGTCGTACGGTGGTCGCACTGGCTCTCTACCACTAGAGAGAGATGAAAGAGATGTGTACAAGCCCAGAGTCATAGTAAGCCAGGTCAGCAAAATGCGGAAAAGTCTCATCGTTCATTTTACCATGACGTTATTTCTGCTTGGACTCGATGAAATATCTAACTGCAAACTTTCGATCTATCCCCTTTTACCCTTGCTCCAAAGCTCCCAAATTGACGTCAATATTTCTAGAATGCTCAATTATAGCTTTATCAATGATGACATGCTTCTTTCAGAAAAACTCCAACCCCGATAATGCCAACGGACGGACTATCATAATGTTGGCTGGTCTGGTACAAGATTAAAATTTAAATCTTTTGGAAAAATCTTGTATGGTTTCCAAAATCTCCACCTTCTCTACATAACGTCAACCATGGCGGAATATCTTTATAACAAAACTTTCGGTGAGTCTAACATATTTCAGTCGGAACGTAGTTAAACTTTTCCACCCAAATAGCTCAAAATGATCCCATCTGGCAGCTTTCAAAACTGCCACAAAGAGGAAAAAGGCTGGCGCTAATGTCTAGGACGTCAAACCGGGGGATAAAATCTCTTCTTTGTCCTCGGTTCTTTGTCCCTACAAAGAGACATCCGATGATATCCGGGTTGAACAGGCGGCTATAGCGCGGGCTGTCACGGTGAGCGATGTCGCCATTTTCGCCGCCCCCCGATGACGCGGATACGTAATGAACACTTTATCGGACTTGTAGTGAGGCATAGGAAAAAATTGTTGTGTTTCCTGTTTCCCAGCCGACCCTAGAAAAAGCTGCCTACCCTACCTTTTTTGTGTGTTTAAAGTTAAAACTTTTGGTCCAACACAAAAAATTCTCTCACCTAGAGCTTTCGACCAGTCACTCTGGTCTTCCTCAGTAGACTGACCCAGTGAAGCTTCTCACGTGGCTTCTTTGAAGTGTGACGTCAACACTGGGTCAAAGGCATCTGGTAGACAATGTCGGCCCCCGTCGCGGTTCAATGAAGGGTGTGGACCCCAGCAAGGGACGTAAATTTTTGGACTGATCAGCCTTTTCTAGCTCCATGACCTGACACCTGATGATGAAATGTCGTATGTACTGAGTTCAGCTTGGCGTCGAGGAGCTTCGAACGGTAGCCTGGGTGCCATCCTCCAGAGTTACCACCGGCTCCGTATTGTCGCTAACTACCATGGACTACCCAGGCCTACAGCCAGGCCAGAGCCTCTGAGGACGCGATCTTGAGAACAGGCGAAAATCAATTCGCGCGAGGATGTCATCCATAAAATTAAGACGGTGTGGCCTAACGTAATGAACACTTATCGGACTTGTGAGGCGAATTCGATCGTCGTTTTCTGAAACCTCATTCCGATTTAATGCCCGGAAATAAATCGCAGAGATCAGGCGAGATGATGATAACGTGTTCGTCACTGTAAGAGGGTCAGCGTGGGTCGTGCGTAGAAAACGCCGCGAGTTCTAGACACTCAATCTTTCCTGGACGAAAAATGTCCAGACTATGCATGATGTACAAAATGACTGATAAACTGGTGGACGTACCAACTACTGAGTACCTTATACCAGCCCAGAAGAGAACAAGAAATAGCCACGCCTTCAAGTACCAGAGTTATCAACCAAAGATCGAGGTTTTCAAGAATTCATTCTTTCCTAGAACTATCGCAGAGCGGAACTCGTTGTCACCAAGTACAGTCGGGGCATTATCATTAGATAGCCTTAAACAATGTTTAGAGTTAGATGTTGAGATGATGATAACGTGTTCGTCACTGTGAGAGGGTCAGCGGGGGTCGTGCGTAGAAAACGCCGCGAGTTACGAGACGCTCAATCTTTCCTGGACACTTTGCTGCTAGACTTCTATCAGTAGCCTCTACCAGGCTTCGGGAGGCGGCTGGAAAGAGTAGAAATTTGCCAAATAGAGAGATACGAGTAACACATGGGTGCGGCAAAATGTACTTTCTTCCACGGCATGTTATCTCTCTAGGCCGATTTCTACTCTTTCCAGCCGCCTCCCGAAGCCTGGTAGAGGCTAACTATATCTATCAGTACGTCAGCAGAAGTTAGTCAGCTACATTCCTTATAGGCCGATTTCTACTATTTATTCAGCTTCCAGAGGAGACAAGTTATTTAAGAACTGAATTGAAGACAGGAGCTAAATAGCCTTATTGAAAAATGTGTAGGACATCTATTTTGTACATCATGAAACATGAAAATGACTTATAGCGGTGAAGTAATAGGCAATGCCAAGATAACACTCCTATTGATTTTGACCGAAGAGACTTCTATACCAAAAGCTTCCATCAGGTTACCATTTGTGCAGTATATTGCTTTGTGAGATGATGCGTTTCGATCCCGTACGAACATTTGTATGGTTCAACCGAGAATCAGTTTCCTCAAGGCAATTTACCGCATGTTGCCGACAAGAGCTTGAAAAGACGCAATGCAGAGGACCGAGCTAGTTATCAGTCCAAACGGTAGTAAATGACGGATTACAGTAGGAAGGATACGTGCTCATTTTTCGTTCCTGATCCGGTCATAATGCTCTTTCAGTCAATGTGTCCTCCTGAGTAAAGAGACTCTTTTTACACAACCAAGTCTTTTATTCAGGCGACGTTTCGGTGAACGTCTGTTTACCTGTGCTGCAGTGCAATGTGAACCAGTCAGAATTGCCCTGAGGAAGGTGATAGACGCTCACCGAAATGTCGGCTTGGTTGTGTAAAAAGAGTCTTTTTATCCAGTGTCTTACCAACCTGATGAAACTATTCACGAATGTGTCCTCCTGTTCATGTGGAGACCAAGGGGACATTGCCGCTATGCGATTTAAAAGTAAAGTGGCTGTCTAAAACTGGTACAAGATTCTTTTACGTTTGGGACTGGAACCAAATCCTTCTCCACAGCATACAAATTCGTCTTTCATTTATTAAGGGGACATGGTCGCTATTCGATGTCACTGTAAAATGGCCCATTTGAAACGGGACTGATGCCAAATCCCTCCTCAACAAATTCAGCTTTCATCAATGCCTACATAAGACACGACCGACAAACCTTTACCCGAGTTTCAAAACTTCTAAAGTTTGCACAACTTGCAGTGAAATCAATCACTCCATGGCCTACAAGTAAAATAAAGTGGCCATCTAAAACGGGTACAAGAGTCTTTTACGTTTGGGAATGGTACCAAATCCTTCCATAACACACAAACTCGTCTTTCATTGCATAAGTGGATGCAAGTGGACATAGTCCCTTTACGATCCACTGTAAAGGGCCCATTTAAAACGGGTACGCGATTGGGACTGATACCAAACTCTTCTACCGCAAATTCATCTGTCATTACAGCCTACACAATACGACCGACTTCAAAACCTTTATCCGAGTTTCAAAACTTCTGAAGTTTGTACAAGTTGCAGTAAAATCAATCATAGTCTACAAGTAAAATAAAGTGGCCATCTAAAATAGGTACAAGATTCTTGGGACTGGTACCAAGTCCTCCCATGGCATCCAAATTCATCCTTCATTTAATGCCTAGTAGACATAAAGCACGACCGACAAACCTTTACCCGAGTTTCAAAACTTATAAAGTTTCTACAAGTTACAGTGGAATCAATCACTCCATGGTCTACAAATCCCCACAGTTCCACACGCCAATTTTAGTTCAGAACGCCAGTTTAGTAACGATGTTTTTTTTTACCCAAATTAATGGTCTCCTGCGGGCCTCCGGGCGCGTGTGTAATTCTGCTTCCCGCTACACAAATCATGCACTCATCCTGTCACGGGCGTCTTAAGGCCAGGGGAAAACATGCTGTGTTTCCGGATACACGTTTTAGGTTTAGATGTTCAAGGGTTAGGTGTAACAGGTCGTTTGGTGTAATGTAGCCAGCTGCCGCCGCGCCGCGTGCCTGCGAAGCTGGTGTGTTACGCTGAAGGGCGGTTATACCGGCTATACAGATACAGAAGCTGGTGTGTTACGCTGAAGGGCGGTTATACCGGCTATACAGATACAGAAGCTGGTGTGTTACGCTGAAGGGCGGTTATACCGGCTATATAGATACAGGATACAGAAGCTGGTGTGTTACACCGAAGGACAGTAATATCTGTATCGGCATAGTAGTATAACCGCCCTGCGGCTTAACACACCAACTTCGCAGGCACGCGGTGCGGCGGCAGCTGGCTACATTACGACGAACGACTTAACGACATGTTACACTCAATCTTTGCACATTTAATTGCAGGGGTTGTTTAAAAGCTTTCTAGTGACAGGAAACACAGCATTAATTTCCCTGTGCCTAAGACCCCAGAGAGTGTGACGTCTCCGAACCACAGGCGTCTTGAAAACGGGCCTGTCAGCAGAATTCCCAAGTGGCGGTACCGCGGCTGAACACGCGCTTCTGTAATACGTCTTCAGAACACAACTGGCACCCCGGCGGGCGCTGCGGAAAGCTAGCCTCTACCAGGCACCGCGGATCGCTGGAAAAATAGTAGAAATTGGCCGAAATAAAGGGATAGTATACCAGAGAAGATCCCGGGCCATAGAAGATCCAATTTGTCGCAAATTCCTATCCCTTTATTTCGGCCAATTTCTACTATTTTTCCAGCGATCCGCGGTGCCTGGTAAAGCCTACTTTCCAAGCAGAGGTTTGGGCTTTGGCGGCTTATTTTGGGCGTGGTTTTAGGCTTTTTCATCGGGATTCCAGTGCACAAAAGAAAGCCCGACAAAAAGGCTAAAAACACGCCTAAATTATGCCAAACCCAAACCTCTGCTTGGAAAGTGCCTGAACTGTGTGAATACGCGCTTCAGTAATCCGTCTTTAGAATTAACAACCGGCACCCCGGAGGGCGCGGCTCAAAGCCTACTTTCCAAGCAGAGGTTTGGGCTTTGGCGGCTTATTTTGGGCGTGGTTTTAGGCTTTTTCATCGGGGTTTTATTTTTGCACTGAAATCGTTAGCGTAAAACAAGATTCCAGTGCAAACAAGAAAGCCCGATAAGCCCGTTTGAAGTAACAACAAAATACAAGCTACCTGAGGATTGCTTTTTCAGCACCAAGGAGAGGACTCTCTGCTGCATTTACTGACAAGAAAATAACAAATAAATAGACAGGGATTAAACACATTGGGGTAGAACTAAACCAAGTAAAAACCAAGTTCTACAGAAGTAGACAAATACATATAGGCCCTGGAAACAGGCTGGTATCCAGGCTAGCATGTTGGCTCTAGAGCCGAGGAGCTGGCCTGTGTAGGCCCTGGAAACAATCTGATATCCAGGCTAGCATGTTGGTCCTGGAGCGGAGGAGCTGGCCTGTGCAGGCCCTGGAAACAGGCTGATATCCAGGCTAGGAACAGCTTTACTGGCTGCCGTTATGGAGATTACAGCTAACAGTGGGTATGACGTACAAAAAACCCAAAGGACGCATTACCAAAGTCCTCATAGGACGAATGACGAATAAAAATGGTTTCATGTATTTACCGAGACTTACCACATGTGTGCAGGATTGACATAGGTGTGCATTATACGCAACAGATTTAGAAGCCTCATAAATTTTCACTAGAAAGCTTTAAACACCTCCTGCGATTAAATGTGCAAAGATTGGGTGTAACAGGTCGTTCGGTGTGATATAGCCAGCTACCGCCGCGTCGCGTGCCTGCGAAGCTGGTGTGTTACGCCGAAGGGCGGTTATACCGGCTATACCGATACAGAAGCTGGTGTGTTACGCCGAAGGGCGGTTATACCGGCTATACAGATACAGAAGCTGGTGTGTTACGCCGAAGCCAAAGGGCGGTTAAACCGGCTTTACAGATACAGATGCAGATATTGCTAACAACATGTAAGAGTCTCAGTGGGTGTAGACATCAGCAGACGAGGTCAGGTACATGTAAGAGCACCTTACAGACAGACAGGCACCAAGCCAGATCACTGTGAATGTCTCGGCAGCATACTTCAGGGGTAGCTTGTGATGTTACACTGAGCCATGTGAACGCGCTGGGCGCACATTAGGACTGGAAACATCAGTAGGGAATGGCAGAATGATGGAACACCTACTTTATACATAAACACGTCGTTCGCTCATCCTCAGTTAACGTCCCCCAATGGTGAGAAGTGACCGAAAATAAAGTCGTTGCATATACTTGCCAATTGGTTCCATATTATTCCCTACATTATTGACTATATTAGACAACTTTTGGTCCCATTTTTTTAGATTACTCTTTACAGGTATTTGTAAATGCATCTGTTTGAGCCTTGGGAGATTAAAAGGTTTCGTAATAAATTGATGAATAAATGAATGAGTATTTGCAATTTTGTATACACTGCTCTTTTTTCACTATCTAGACATGTGATGATGTTTTTCTCTTTTCTTTTTCAGATGAGCCATTTCATTTGTATGTTTTCATCTGTTTGTTTGTTCTCGTATAGTCGGCAGTTTACGTTGTTTTATGGCACGTACATAACAAGACAGGTGTTACTGGTTCACTGCACACGTACATAACCTCAGTGCACATGTACAGTGAACCAGTCATAATTGCCCTGCTGAAGATGACAGACGGTCATCGAAACGCCGGTCCAACAAGTGGCTGTGAATAAACAGTTTGATATTCTATCATTCACCCACATGATAGAATTATTCACGGAACACTGCACGAACAGTTGGATTTACCAATGATGGTAAAAGCCAGCAATGTCGGGTAATGTTTACTTCGTAAAAGGTATCGGACGTGTCATCGGTAGTAAATGAAGGTGGAGTCCGATTATTTAGGACTTAACAATGGTTAGATCGACATTTTTATTTACTACCATTGTTAAGTCCGGTACTGATTACAACGTAAACATTACCCGACTTTACTGGCGTTTGTATACCATTGGTAAATCCAACGTTTTGTGCAGTGGAAGAAGCGTGTCCTGAAGACAGCTGTGGTGCCCTGTGTTGACCTGTCATGTTGAGTGTGCGTGTTGTTCTGTCCCGTTGCAGAGTTCGCCATCATGGTCGACATCAAAAACATCTTGAAGAACGACCCGAGGGTGGAAACCCACGGCCAGCGTCACTGAAGCGTCGCACGCCGCATGCGCAAAGAGGTAGTCGGATTTACGTCACCATCTACGTCATCACCTCCACTGTCTGTCCGCCATCTTGTTTCCTGAGCTTTTTCCTCTGTTGGCATTGATTTGGCATCGGTTTTTGTTTTTGCAGCAGTTGTGAAGAAACACTACTAATTCACATGACGAACCTAACCACCGGACTGTGCATCAGAACAGTCTTCGGAAATTATTTATCGCCTTTTTGTTAGAAGAAGACACTCAAATTTGGTTTTGTTTTCTTTCTTTTTTAGAGTTTGCCATTATGGTTGACATCAAGAATATCTTGAAGAATGACCCGAGAGTTCAGCAGCGAAGTAACCATGGTAACGGTTCCCGCCAGCAACACAGAGTCACGTACGTGTAGACACGTCACTTCCGGGCACGATACGTCATTTCCTGGACAGAGAGAGTTGAAGAGAACGCTGCTGCAGTTTGGGGTCAGGTTGGGGTCACGTTGAGAAGGCCTCCGGCGATCCGGACTTCCACCAAGGTCAACACTTGTTGAAGGACGATGAGGAAAAATGGCCGCCGCCCGTAGGTAGCCATGGCAACGCGGTCACCATGGAAACCTGAAACTTACTATTTACTGCATGTAAGCGGCGGGCTGAAAAAGTTGACGGCATAGTGCTTGATTTCAGTAAGATACATGTACTTACTTCGAGTTCAAGAAAACGTACCATACTATAGTATCATGAAAAAAAAAAAACTAGTGAGCAAAGTGAGTTTTAACCAAGCAGATCCTACAGTGGCGAGGCAGTATCCAATGGTCAGAGCAGTGTCCAGTAGCCTCACTAACTGCTTGGCCCTTTGGATATTACCTTGCCACCGTAGGATCTGCTTGGAGATTAACACAATCTGGCTATTAAGGAAAAAAAATAGTCCACGCGTTTGCTACATTCAGTGTCGTCTTAGTCTCCTCATTAGCCTGGTGACCAGTCTATCGCGGTTGGGGCGGGTTCTCTTCGGGGCTGCTGAAACTCTTCCCCGCCCGACTCAGCTAGGTTCCCCGGTAGGTTTTGCACGACAGGAGTTCAATTAGTCAACTCTAGTCTCCACCAGACTCCTTTAATTGCAGGCTGAATGAATAGTAGAAATCGGCTATGGGGAACATCATTGGCCAGAGCAGGCAAGCTGGACCCTCTATGGCCGGCCAACTTCTCTGGCCAGTGATGTTCCCCTTAGCTGATTTCTACTATCTATTCAGCCTGCAAAGGAGTCTGGTGTGCCAGACTCTATCACAGGCCTAACACCGGGCGGTCTGTTGAGCTGGACGGGGGAAAACTATTGAAGCCCCGAAGACTGCCTACCCCAACCACGATAGACTGGATACCGGGCTATCTACTCATCAGAAACTCATCGGAAACACATCGTCCAAGCCGGAGGCCGGGTCCTGAAGAGAGAAGTTAGGCTTTTACAGGTGGTCGTTTTTCAAGCGGTTTTGAATACTATTAAAAATAAAAAGCGGTCGAGACACCGACCGACATATTGACGAAACGTAACGTTTCTACTACCGTGTTATAATCAGGTGACCAGTGCAATGTTGGAATGTACATTATATAATATAAAACTATATGAATGTGATATACTATATAGTTAATTAAGGACATTGAATGAATGTTTACATTGTGTACAAATGAACCACTGATGATATCTTCCTGAGTGATTTTCAAGCAAGTTTGAGGAAACAAGTGTGTATCAATAATAAGAAGATCAGAACATTCAACTAACAATGAATAACGCTGACGTCCTTTGAGGACATAAATGCGTTCAGATGATCCTTGTTGAGCATCTACAAGTACAAAACAAAAAGATGCCGTAGTGTAGTTTAATGTTGAACCATCATGTATACACAGTGTTGAACTTTGAAAAGTAACTATTTGGGAAAGTTTGAAAGGAGATGCTTTGAAATTGTTGTTCGTATTTGCATATCACCGTATGTACGTATGTAACTATCCTCTACCAGGCTTCGAAAGCGGCTGGAAAGAGTAGAAATTGGTCAAATACTTGAAATAGAGAGACTGACAACACGCCAGGGTAGTTGGTCTGCTAAAGGAATGGCAAACTGTACTCTCTAGCGGAGGAACTCCCCTGGCATGTTATCTCTCTATCCATCCGCCTCTGAAGCCTGGAAGAGACTAACTTGTGGACACGATTGTACATTTAGGGGACCGAGATTCTGTTAGGGTCTGTTCATGTTCTGATCATCGATATATATAATATTGTTGATGTTTATTGAGGAATCGCAGACCACTTTTTAAGAAGGTTCATATTGAACAACGGTAGGTCCAAGTCTAGCATCAATGTTTTATCTATGAGAATTTTGAAAAGTAAGAAACACAAAAGCTGTTTTCGTCTTCCAACTTCGTGATGACCTCACGGAAAGAAGAACATAAGAGAGGAAATAAAAAAGGTGTCTCTTTGTCTGTTTGTATTAACATTGGGCCACGCAAAAAGGCAAAATACTATGCTGTATTTGAGGAGAAAGGAGTTGTAAGTGATGGTAGTACAAAATCTGTTACAGTTGAGCGATTAACATTTAAAATGGAGTTGTAGTCCTGATTGTTATCGTCAGGAGGCGTTGTTAGCTGGGTGAGTAAAGATGACGTGCAGAACTGTTAATAGTAATAGAATAGGCAATAAAATGATCTTCACATTTCGTGTATAAAGTTTTTTGAAATTCTTTTGTACAAAAAAGTTCAATTTTGTTACCTGGTTGTATTTGAAATGAATTGCATGTTTGATCGTTGTGTTTAGCACAAATGTTTAGTGGTCTGTGTTGGTATATTTTGATGAGTTTTGCGAATTGGTTTTCTAAGAACCAGTGTTCTATGTTCTAAGAACAAGTGTTCTAAGAACAAGTGTTCTATGTTCTTTGAAGAACTCGTGTTCTAAGAACCAGTGTTCTACAAGCTGGTGGTTCTTGTAATGTAATTTTCATTGAGACTTAACATTACGTTGTAAATATTGACAGAGATAAGCTAGATTTATCTCACATCGGAGGATGCCCATCGGCCGGCTGTCAACAAGGACGTTATATTTATACTCCTCTAGAACAAAGTTGTAGCCTCATTGACATCATTTACTTGTCGTTGGGTGCTTGAAATTGTTAAGTAAAAGAAACGTGCCATCCAGCGACAGTGAAATTGTCAGAATTACTGTGTAGATTAAATATATGAGTAGTGCTCATTACAACGTGTGGTTCTGTTTCTTGGGTAACTTACGCTATGGTTCTGAATAACTTACTTTGCATGCAAAGCGTTTGATAAAAAAACTTACATGTCAATCTGCTTACACAACTTGAAGATAACATGCCAGGGGAGTTTGTCTGCTGGACATTTTGCGGCAAAAGGGCATGTTATCTTTTTTTGGGCGCTCTCTACTCTTTCCAGCCGCATCCCGAAGCCTGGTAGAGGCTAACTACTAACAACCTGCCGCCTCAAAAAGGCCATTGGACTACTTTTACTCCTTTACCTGCATAATACGTGTAATAGCATAATTACATAAAAGATAATGTCCTTGGTTGCATATAGACGTTTCAGGCCAGGGCGACCTAAAAGCCTTGAAAATATTGTCTAGCCGTTGAAAGTATAACAGCGCCACCTAGCAACTTTTGTATTATTGCAAGCATTCTGGTGACGTGTGGTCTCTTCATTCTCCTACCCTGAATACCTGGAACATAGCTTCCGAGTCCTATATCTTCTTGCGGGGTAGCCACAGAAGGGGGGGGGGGGCATGTAACGTTATAGAAAGTTAACGTTACCAGTCTTCCCAACCAACCTCTGCTTGGAGAGTAGGCCAATGAGGCTATATCCCCATGAATCCCAGCAAAGAGGTATAAAATAGAAAGAACGTTCTTGATTGCAGTAAAAAGTAGTGCTTTTGTAGTCTGTTGCCAGACACAATGGAATAACGTTCTTCTCAAAACAGGTTTAATCAAAAGTCAATTTTAAGGTACAAGACTGTTTCATTTCTGTAAAGGTACAATTTGTGGGTAGTGAGTACAATGTGTCTTGTTTGTATATAAGTGAATAAAATATTCAGATACAGCACAAACAAAATGTCATTTCCAGCTTTTATTTCCCTGTTATCACAAGCTTTGATTGGGTGTATACTTTTTTACTTTTATGTTATGCTATAGGTATTGGTGCGCCAGCCACTTTCATTTTATGTTTATGTTATACTTTATGTCATCTTTATGTCTACATTTGTATTATGTTTTATGAGCAGCGGATTCACATAAGCACAACAAGTGCTTCCTATCCAATGCTCAAAAATCCATGTGAATAAAATAAAAATAAATAGATATCTTATCCCTGTCACTACAACCCTACAGAATATAATCTATTCCTGCAAACACACTTCCTTATGATACACATAAATGTCTAGTAGTACATTCTTTGGCAGTTCAGTCTCATCAGCAGACTATCTATGCACCTGGGGAGTATTCTGGTGACTCAATCGCATGTGGCTCAGTATTTTATCTGTATGGTACTTATCTTTGTAATACATATGCATGATTGTATGCTATTCTGCTATCTAACATTTTCCAGTTATAGCACTTCCAAGCACCTCCCTCATTGACATATTCAGTACATGTAGGTCTATATACACAATATACATGTATGTGATATACTCAACAGTTATCTCTATAATAGATACTGGTTCACAACATTGTATGAAGCTTCCATGATCAATTGTAATCTTTGCAAGAATTGCTCCCTTTACAGCAGATTATAATAATGGAAATACACGAACTATTCGATGGCATAATCTTTCACTATGCCATACACACATCTGATAACATGTAGGGTATAACAAGATGTTGACACCATATTCTGATCTCAGCGGACATAGAGAGGGTGTATTTATCACTATCATTATTTTATTGGACAACATAGAAACAAGACGCAGTGGTGGGCAAAAGGAAAGAAATAGACATACAATGGTAAAATAGAAATAAAAAAACAAGTGACAAAACAGCACGTAACAGATCAATAAATGGGCAATATAAAAAATAACATGTAAAAGTAAGATCATAATGTTTTGAAAAAGAATTGTTTTCCGTGATTAGTTGCACACATTAATATTTAATCAAATATAAACAGTTTTGAGTGAACATGTAAGATTGAGTTATTATATGTCTGTTGTTTCTGGGCTCACTATTATTGTCTTTTTAATATTCAAAATGCAGTGTCTGTTTGGACAGGCAATTGCCTTTTCATGGTGAATATCGTTAGGTTCCACCAGTGTCAGATTGTGCTTTGTTTCTTTCTTGGATAATCTGTGTCATCCTCCTTGCCCGATCACGATAGTTTTCAGCCTTTCTGTGATCACCAAGGTAGCCCCAAGTGACAGCCAAGTTGTGGAGTAACGTTACAATGTCAGGATGTGCATTACTCTCCCCATAGATACTCTCTTTCATCTGTAATGACTGTTCAAAATAGCTGACGGCCTTTTTGTAATCACCGAGTTCGCTACAGGCCCCGCCCAAGTTATTAAGTGATGTGGCAATGTCAGGATGTTCGGTGTTCTCTCCATAGATACTCTGCTTCATCTGTAGTGACTGTTCATAATAGCTGACAGCCTTTCTGTGATCACTGAGTTTGCTACAGGCCGAGCCCAAGTTATTAAGTGAGTCGGCAATGTCAGGATGTTCGGTGTTCTTCCCATAGATACTCCACTTCATCTGTAGTGACTGTTCATGATAGCTGAAGGCAGCTTTGTGATCTCCAAGTTCCATACAGGACACGCCCAAGTTGTTAAGTGAGTTGGCAATGTCAGGATGTTCGGTGTTCTTCCCATAGATACTCCACTTCATCTGTAGTGACTGTTCATAATAGCTGAAGGCAGCTTTGTGATCTCCAAGTTCCATACAGGACACGCCCAAGTTGTTAAGTGAGTTGGCAATGTCAGGATGTTCGGTGTTCTTCCCATAGATACTCTGATTCATCTTTAGGGACTGTTCAAAATAGCTGACAGCTTTTCTGTAATCACCGAGTTCGCTACAGGCCGCGCCCAAGCTGTTAAGTGAGTTGGCAATGTCAGGATGTCCGGTGTTCTCCCCATAGATAGCCTTCATCATCTGTAGTGACTGTTCATGATAGCTGACAGCCTTTCTGTAATCACCGTGTTCGCTACAGGCCGCGCCCAGGTTGTGAAGTGTGTCGGCAATGTCAGGATGTTCGGTGTTCTTCCCATAGATACTCTGATTCATCTTTAGGGACTGTTCAAAATAGCTGACAGCTTTTCTGTATTCACCGAGTTTGCTACAGCCTGCGCCCAAGCTGTTAAGTGAGTTGGCAATGTGAGGATGTTCAGTGTTCTCCCCATAGATAACCTTCATCATCTGTAGTGACTGTTCAAAATAACTGACGGCCCTTCTGTCATCACCGAGTTTGCTACATGCCCCGCCCAAACTGCTAAGTGATCTGGCAATGTCAGGATGTTCGGTGTTCTCCCCATACATACTCTGATTCATCTTTAGGGACTGTTCAAAATAGCTGACAGCTTTTCTATGATCACCAAGTTCGTCCCAGGCATCACCAAGGTTGTTAAGAGAGACAGCAATGTCAGAATGTGGATTCCCTTCACCATATCTAGATCTATCACACTGTAGCGCTTGTTCTACACATGTTTTATAGTTTTCAAAATCACAGAGACTTCTGTACACCACTGCTTTTACGCGGGAAGAGTCATCAAATAGAATTGATGATTCGTCTGTTGACTGGCCGTTGGCAAGCTGTGAAATAAAGTGTTTTGTTGGCCTTTCTGTGTAATAGTATCTCATGAGCTGTTTGACATTTGAAAAGTAAAACACTTTCTTTAATGTCTCCCCAATGTGCGTGTCTGTCGACATGGATGACAAGGCTGACATGCTTTCCACCTGGCCTCCATTACTTATGTATGTCCGCAGCCTTAGTTCTGCTGAGATGCTCACCATCACCATCAAATGATGTGCATTCTCGCTATTGATGACGCCATTCTTGTTGAGATTCTCAATAGTTTTCCAGATCGTGGTCGGTTGTATGTTACGGAGTAGCGCCAAACAAGACACTGCAAGACTTGAAAATCGATACATTTGCTTCTTTACATCAATCAATCTATCAGTTCTAACTTCGATTTCAAACATTGCTGCGTTTTCCCTAAGATCAATCATTGCTAATAAGAAATGAATTTCATCACGGCGATGCATTTGCTGAGTCCATAGAGCGATATACACATCAACCAACTCCTGTTCTCCTGTGATTAAACACACATTTCCCAATATGCTAGCAAGGTGGTATCCTTTCTTCAAATGGAAAGTAAGGTCTTTTTCGAGTACTTTGGTCATCTCCCTTGGTGTGCGAATGAGCTCACTTGTAGATGTGCTGTTTCTTCCTCTGCCTAGAGGAGTCTTGCAGGCGTGTGGCATGGAGCCGTCAAATGCAAACCCGCGTGGTGTTACGGAGTCATAGAACCAGTTGTCTAGTGGGTCTTTTGAGTAGAAATCATTAAGCGACTTGGTCCCCATGGCTGGGAGAATGGTTTCTCCCAAATTGATGACTTTGAGATGCAGATAATGAGTGAGGTTGCGGAAATACCTGACATTGCTTTCTTTTTCCTCTTCAACTAAAATGGCAAACTCTAGATCAGAGTATGGTGTTACCAATCCTGTGGCTTGTGAACCCATTCCTATCATGGCGTACTTACAGGGAGGGGGGCCCATTACCTTCATACATTCATCTACAAGGCCAGCTACGAACATTTTTCGCTGATCGACAATCGTGTCAAACAATGCCCTGATTTCATCTGCCCTCCTTTTCTCTACTTCCCTTATCTTTGGGTCGTCATCGGCAAGACTGTAAGGATCTACCTCTTGTTCAATTCTTTTGATCTCTTGTTTTACAACGTCTCTCTGTTCCTCTAACTTCAACTTGTGTTTCTCTGCATCACCAATGTCTACCATTTGTTCAATATTCAGAACATGCCTAAGGAATGATCGACTTATTTCCTGGATAGCTTCCTTAATGTCGTTCCTCCTAGACCTTACCAGTGCTGCATTACAGAGTGCTGCAGCCTTGGTGAAGTCTCCTCCATCTTTAGACTGGATTCCTCTCTTCAGGTAGACGTCGCCTAACTTGTAGAGGGGCTCTGCTTCTTTGATGTGTTGGTCAGACTTTGAAACTGCAGAGAATAAAATTCACAATGTTTAAAATATATTGTGCTTTTGAAGCAGTTTAACGATGATATTGCCAAAAGCGCTCTATAGCAACAAGATTGATGTGGAACATTGCATTACTAATTTTGCACAGCTTTAGCACATTTATAAGATGGTCCATATTACTTAAGAGAATTTTGAACCCTTAAGATCTGAGACTTACATTTGACATGTACAGATTTAAGTGCAGTTGCAAAGTGTTGTTCTGCCGTGTCCAGGTCTCCTATCTGCAGGGCCCTGCAGCCCTCCTGTAGGTGGTCTTGGTATGAGCTGTAACAAGGGGATTACATATAGATAATATGTCAACCAATATAAAGCTTTTTTTTTTAATTTTCAATTTTTTAAGTACGTTCCTTCATGTAAGCAGTAACCTAATAACTTAACAGTACTTTGATACCAATTCACATACAGACTCTTCTTAAACTGACTTTGGTAAAGTTTGTAGTAAGGCGTCCCTACCTTTTAATGTTTACGTCTGGACGTGGATGGTTGCCCTGAGTAACATCAGGTCTTTTGATGTTCCCAAACTGATGCCTCGTGGGTCTTGCTCTTCCTCTTGTTCTTGATTTCTTTGATGATGATTTCTGAAATAGTCCACGAATTTCGTATATCATATATATATATATATGTATGTGCATCTGTGCATATACATATATACAAAATGTGTTCATTGCACACTCGTTGCATGGTGCAAAGATTGCTACAAACATATCGTTTTACATGTCTACATTGGACCTTTGGTAACTACATGTACGCTTGTCAAATTAGCAACTTAATATTGATTTGGTTGACTTGGTGAAATGTTGTTCACTGCTTTTTTGTAATGTGGGTGTTCTGGCTCGGGTCATACACTGTTTAAGGGCCTGTAGTCGTGAGAAAAGTCTTTGCATGTTGTGGGCAGTGCCAGTCATGGCAAATTAGGCAAAATTACTCACCCTTCTAGCTCTCACTGCTCCCCAGATCTTCACCATGTACAAGACACGATGGTGCAGAGTCTTTTTCGTCTCCGGATCCTCACATCTAGTCAGGGCTTTGCCGTACATCGCAGCTGCCTTGGAGAACTGGGATAGTTTGGATGTTTTCTTGCTTTTCTCAAGGTAAAAATCTCCTAGAGATTTGAGAACCTCAACCTCCAAGAACACGTCACCCTTTCCGATTGCAGCCACTAATGTTTCTGTGTACGCCTCCTCAACAGACTGCCAGAGTTTACCGACCCTTTTGTCTAATTTGTTGCAAATTTCTGCCACCCTTAAGACATTACTGTCAGCAGTGCCCCAGTAGTCTGGTGACTGATACTGTGGAGTGTACCCCTGCAGCAGCTGTCTGCAAAGTTTCTGCATGTAGTCAATTCGATGACTAAGTGTTTCCCCCATGTCTGGATCTTTGCAGCGCAGAAAGGCAGCAGCATAAAGGGAAGCAGCCTTGTCAAACTCTGCCGAATCTTTACTTTGCTTGCCTTTCTGAAGATGCAGGTCTCCAAGACTTTTTAGGACTTCTAACTCCATACTGAGATCCATGGAAAGAATGGCTTCTCTCAGTGCCCGACTATACCCGACTCCGTGACTATGCTGACTCTTGAGGCACAACTCCAAGTCCTGCAACTTGTCTGCCAGGCTGGTCATATTCATGTCAGACATCTTCCTATTTGGGTTTTCCTCCAAAGATCAACCTTTAGAGAAAGGAGAATTCGGCAATTTTGGACATTTTGTTTTTTGTGTGAAATATCGTATTCATGGACATCCTACATGACGATATAAATACATAGCCATCTCATTTTAATATCAACTAGTGGCAAATTCCCAAGTGATAGATAAAATCAACCCTGGAGCCGAGGAGCCCTGGCAACAGTCTGGTACTCAGGCTAGCCCTGGAGTCGAGGAGCTAGCCTGTATACAGGCCCTGGCAACAGTCTGGCACCCAGGCTAGCCCTGGAGCCGAGTACCTAGCCTGTATATTGGCACCACTGGCCCTGTCAACAGTCTGGCACCCAGGCTAGCCCTGGAGCCGAGGAGCTAGCCTGTATACTGACCCTGGCAAAAGTCTGGCACCCAGGCTAGCCCTGGAGCCAAGGAGCTAGCGGCTGCTAGCCTGTATACTTTAGTGCTCGACCCTGGCAACAGTCTGGTACCCAGGCTAGCCCTTGAGCCGTGGAGCTAGCCTGATACTTCGCATATTATACACTGTACTTTAGTAACGGACCCTGGCAACAGTCTGGCACCCATCCAGTCTAATACTAGCCACGGGACCTTCCCATATGACGTAACAGTTTCGTGACTTGGTTCACACTACCTTAATAGAGTATCGTAATTATTGGGCCATATCATTAACCAGCCTCAAATCAAAACATTACAGTTATAGTCATACTACCACACAACAAAGATTTCTTGTAATTGACCGCGCCTAATAAAGGCCATTAAAGCCTTTAAGAAAAGGCCTTAAAACTGTTGGAACGTGACCCCATATCGAGAACAGTCTTTGATTCATGATACGCAGTTACCTCGTATATTACTTACTAAGCCGTTTCATAAACACTTAACAACTGTACATATGGGACGGGTTACTTACTGCAATTCTTAACGGGTCCACCTTGTCCCCGGAACTGCTCAGTGTGGCTTCTAAGTGGTGTTGATCGTGTGGAAACTCTCAGTCTTTATTTCTAAGTAACGGTCCCACCTCGTGACTGGTACAGGTGATTAGCAGGTGAAAGTCCCCGGGTGAGGTCACACCTGTTCTACCACGTGAGGGCGTCATGTTGTTGATCATTGACAGGGTCAATGATCAACAATTCTGGCTTCGAATCTATAGAGGGCCAAATTCTGCGTCCATGGGAAACGCACCTTGCACTTTTTCTTCACTCGACTTTAAAGTCTGTATTTAGGTTCGGTTAGAGACTGCTCAGTTTTCTGTATATTACACGACTTTTCTCACTCCACCCAGTGTAAAATGGGCACCTAGCTGACTCTTGTTGGGGAGGCCGTGGAGGGAGAGGGATGGGCTCCACTTTCCAAGTTACCGCCCTAGCCACAGTGGACTATTGGACTACCTTTACTTCTTTACCTGCATGATATACGTGTAATAGCATAGTTACATGGAAGATAATGTCCTTGTTTGCATATAAACGTTTCAGCCCAGGGCGACCTAAAAGCCCTGAAAATACTAGTATTGTGTAGCGCCGTTGAAAGTATAACAGCGCCACCTAGAAACTTTTGTATTATTGCAAGCATTCTGGTGACGTGTGGTCTCTTCATTCTCCTACCCTGAATACCTGGAACATAGCTCCCGAGTCCTACATCTTCTTGCGGGGTAGCCACAGAAGGGGGGGGGGGCATGTAACGTTATAGAAAGTTAACGTTACCAGTCTTCCCAACCAACCTCTGCTTGGAGAGTAGGCCAATGAGGCTATATCCCCATGAATCCCAGCAAAGAGGTATAAAATAGAAAGAACGTTCTTGATTGCAGTAAAAAGTAGTGCTTTTGTCGTCAGTTGCCAGATACAATGGAATAACGTTCTTCTCAAAATAGGTTAAATCAAAAGTCAATTTTAAGGTACAAGACTGTTTCATTTCTGTAAAGGTACAATTTGTGGGTAGTGAGTACAATGTGTCTTGTTTGTATATATAAGTGAATAAAATATTCAGATACAGCACAAACAAAATGTCATTTCCAGCTTTTATTTCCTTGTTATCACAAGATTCGATTGGGTGTATACTTTTTTTGTACATGTACGCATATATTAACATTTCTAAAGACCCAGAAAAGCCATCTTCTATCCCTATAGTCTATATAAGCTATGTATATCTTATCCCTGTCCATACAACCCTACAGAATATCATCTTTTCCTGCAAACACACTTCCTTATGATACACATAAATGTCTGGCAGTTCAGTCTCAGTAGCAGACTATCTATGTGCCTGGGGAGTTTTCTGTTGACTTCGGATGTGGCTTAGTATTTTATCTTTATGGTACATATCTTTGTAATACATAGGGCGTTAGGAAGAGAATCCAGCCATAAAAATCTTGCTTCAAAAAAAAAAAACTTGTACCTGGTGCAAGCACGTCTAACCCCCGGTTGGGGAAAAATGACGTTAAATTCGGTTTTAAAAATGCGTGATTGTATGCTTTTCTACTATCTAGCATTTTCCAGTTATAGCACTTCCAAGCAGCTCCCTCTAGATCATTGACATATGCAGTACATGTAGATCTATACATGCAATCTACATGTATGTGATATACTCAACAGTTACCTCTATAATAGAGACGGGTTCACAACAATGTATGAAGCTCTCAATGATCAATTTATGATAATTGCTCCATTAACAGCAGACTAATGGAAATACACGCCAAGATACAGGGACGATGGCATAATCTTTCACTATGCCATACACACATCTGATAACATGTAGGGTATAACAAGATGTTGACACCAAATTCTGATCTCAGCGGACATAGAGAGGGTGTATTTATCACTATCATTATTTTTATTGGACAACATAGAAACAAGACGCATGGTGGGCAAAAGGAAAGAAAGGGATCCGGACATACAATGGTAAAATAGAAACCGGTATCATTGGCAATTGTTTTCCGTAGGCAGTTGCACACATTTAGTCAAGTGTAAACCGTTTTGAGTGAACAATGTAAGCTTGAATTATTATATGTCTGTTGTTTCTGGGCTCAGTATCATTGCAATTTTAATTTAAGCAGTGTCTGGACAGGCAATTGCCTTTTCGTGGTCATTGTAATATCGTTAGGTTCCAACAGTGTCAGATTGTGCTTTATTTCTTTCTTGAATAATCTGTCTCATCCTCCTTGCCCGATCACGATAGTTGACAGCCTTTCTGTGATCACCAAGGTTGGCCCAAGTGACAGCCAAGTTGTTTAATGAAGATACAATGTCAGGATGTGCAGTGTCCTTCCCATAGATACTCTGTCTCATCTGTAGTGACTGTTCATGATAGCGGACGGCCTTTTTGTAATCACCAAGTTCCTTACAAACCGTGCCCAAGTTATTAAGTGAGTCGGCAATGTCAGGATGTTCGGTGTTCTTCCCATAGATACTCTGTCTCATCTTTAGTGACTGTTCATGATAGCGGACGGCCTTTTTGTAATCACCAAGTTCCTTACAAACCGTGCCCAAGTTGTTAAGTGATGCGGCAATGTCAGGATGTTCGGTGTTCTTCCCAAATATGATCTGTTTCGTCTGTAGGGACTGTTCAAAATAGCTGACGGCCTTTCTGTAATCACCAAGTCCCATACAGGCATTGCCCAAGTTATTAAGCGATCTGGCAATGTCAGGATGTTCGGTGTTCTCCCCATAGATACTCTGCTTCATCTGTAGTGACTGTTCATAATAACTGGCGGCCTTTCTGTAATCACCAAGTTCCATACAGGCATTGCCCAAGTTGTTAAGGAATCTGGCGATGTCAGGATGTTCGGTGTTCTCTCCATAGATACTCTGCTTCATCTTTAGTGACTGTTCATAATAGCTGACAGCCTTTTTGTAATCACCAAGTTTGCTACAGGCCGTGCCCAAGTTGTTTAGTGAGTCGGCAATATCAGGATGTTCAGTGTTCTCCCCATAGATACTCCACATCATCTGTAGTGACTGTTCATGATAGCGGAAGGCCTTTCTGTAATCACCGAGTTCCCTACAGGCTACGCCCAAGTTATGAAGTGATTCGGCAATGTCCGGATGTTCGGTGTTCTCTCCATAGATACTCTGCTTCATCTTTAGTGACTGTTCATAATATCTGACGGCCTTTTTGTAATCAAGGAGATCGCTACAGACCGCGCCCAAGTTGTTAAGCGAATCGGCAATGTCAGGATGTTCGGTGTTATCCCCATACATGTAGATACTCCGATACATCTGTAGTGACTGTTCAGAATAGCTAACGGCACTTTTGTGATCTCCAAGTTCAATACAGGCATTGCCCAAGTTGAGAAGTAATCTGGCAATGTCAGGATGTTCGGTGTTCTCCCCATAGATACTCCGACACATCTGTAGTGACTGATCATAATAGCTGACAGCCTTTCTGTAATCACCGAGTTTTCTACAGGCATTGCCCAAGGTGTGAAGTGATGTAGCAATGCCAGGATGTTCGGTGTTCTCCCCATAGATACTCTGGAACATCTTTAGTGACTGTTTGTGATAACTGGCGGCTTTTCTATCATCACCAAGTTTGCCCCAGGCATCACCAAGGTTGTTTAGAGACGCAGCAATGTCATAATGTGGATTCCCTTCACCATATCTAGATGTATAACTCTGTAGTGCCTGTTCTGCACATGTCTTATAGTTTTCATAATCACACAGACTTCTGTATACCATTGCTTTTACGCTGGAGGAGTCATCAAATAGAATTGATAAATCCTCTGTGGAATTACCGTTGGCAAGCTGTGAAATTAAGTGCTTTGTTGGCCTTTCTGTGTAATAGTATCTCATGAGCTGTTTGGCATTTGAAAAGTAAAACACTTTCTTCAATGTCTCCCCAATGTGTGTATCTGTCGACATTGATGACAAGGCTGACATGCTTTCCACCTGGCCTCCATTACTCATGTATGTCCGCAGCCTCAGTTCTGCTGAGATGCTCACCATCACTATCAAGTGATGTGCGTTCTCACAACTGATGGCGCCAGTCTTGTTGAGGCTCTCAATAGTTTCCCAGATGGTGGTCGGTTGTATGTTACGGAGTAGCGCCAAACAAGACACTGCAAGACTTGAAAATCGATACATTTCCTTTTTTACATCCATTAACCTACCGGTTTTCACATCGTTCTTAAACATTTGTACATTTTCCCTAAAATGTGTTAGCGCTAATACGCAAGGAATTATCCCTCCGTGATTTTCTTGCAGTTGCTGAGTCCATAGAGCGATATACACATCAACCAACTTCTGTTCTCCTGTGATTAAACACACATTCCCCAAGATACTAGCAAGGTGGTATCCTTTCTTCAAATGAAAAGTAAGGTCTTCTTCTAGAACTTTGGTCATCTCCCTTGGTGTGCGAATGAGTTCACTTGTAGATGTGCTGTTTCTTCCTCTACCTAGAGGAGTCTTGCATGCGTGTGGCATGGAGCCATCAAACGCAAACCCGCGCGGTGTTACAGAATCATAGAACCAGTTGTCTACAGGGTCTTTTGAATAGAAATCATTAAGCGACTTAATCCCCATGGCTGGGAGAATGGTTTCACCCAAATTGATGACTTTGAGATGCAGATAATGAGTGAGGTTACGGAAATACCTGACATTGCTTTCTTTTTCCTCTTCAACTAAAATGACAAACTCTAGATCAGAGTATGGTGTCACCAATCCTGTGGCTTGTGACCCCAGGCCTATCATGGCATACTTACAGGGAGGGGGGCCCATCACCTCCATACATTCATCTACAAGGCCAGCTATGAACAGCTTTCGCTGGAGGGCAATCGAGTCAAACAATGCCCTGATTTCATCTGCTCTCCTTTTCTCTACTTCCCTTATATTTGGGTCGTCATCAGCAAGACTGTAAGGGTCTACCTCTTGCTCAATTCTTTTAATCTCTTGTTTTACAAAATTTCTATGTTCCTCTAACTTCAAACTGTGATTCTCTGCATCACCAATGTCTACCTTTTGTTCAATATTCAGAACATGCCTAAGAAATGATCGACTTATTTCCTGGATAGCTTCCGTAATGTCTTCCCTCCTAGACCTTACCAGTGCTGCATTACAAAGTGCTGCAGCCTTGGTGAAGTCTCCTCCGTCTTTAGACTGGATTCCTCTCTTCATGTAGACGTCACCTAACCTGTTGAGGGGCTCTGCTTCTTTGATGTGTTGGTCAGATTTTGAAACTGTACAGAATAAAGCTCTCACTGGTTATCAATTTCAATCGTCTATTTTACTGTTATCACAACTTGTAACTTTTGTTCAATCGTCTATTTTACTGACTCTAAATTTACAAGTGCCAATATTTCACTGTCCATTAGATGAAAACACTTTCTTACAGTTTAAAGAGGATGCTCTTGTCAAAAGATACCGCATGCCTGCAATTAAGGCATTCTGTTGCAACAACAATAAGGTATATTGCATTATGTGTTTAATTTTGCGAAGCAAGATTATAAGATGGGCCATATTACTACAAAGATACATTTGATAAGATTTCTAAGGTAAGGTGTGAGACTCACATTTGACATGTACAGATTTGAGTGCAGCTGCGAAGTGCTGTTCTGCCGTGTCCAGGTCTCCTGTCTGCAGGGCCCTGCAGCCCTTCTGTAGGTGGTCTTGGTATGAGCTGTAAGATAATGAGATTGCATGTAAATAATCTTTCAACCAAGACATTTTTATTGGATTATTTAAAGCAAGTAATATACTTCATCAAGTGCGTAGTTAAATTCAGAGATTATCTGTACCTGCAATTCAAAGAGTAAAAACCACACTTTACAAACCCCCTGTTTGGTAGTCAAAATATCATAGTCAGTACCTCGATAAATGCTTATGTACACGCACTATACAGACAGGCAGTTGGATGCAACTTTTTTCTTAAATCAACGTTGACCATCGGGGCTTCCATACCTTTCAACGTCTGGACTTGGATGGTTGCCCTGAGTAACATTGGGTCTTTTGTTGTTCCCAAACTGACGCCTCGTGGGTAATCGTCTTCCTCTTGGTCTGGATTTGTTTGGTGATGATTGCTGAAATAGTCAATAAATTTCGTATATATATGTATATGTATATATGTATGTGTATGTGTATTTGTATATATACATATATACAAAATGAGTTTTGCAGTGTTCATTGCACACTTGTTGCATGGTGCAAAGATTGCTAAAAACATATCGTTTTACATGTCTAAATATTGGACTTACTTTGATAACTACGCTTGTCAAATTAGCAACTTCATATTGACTTGGTGAAATGTTGTTCACTGCCTTTCTGTAATGTGGGTGTTCTGTCCCGGGTCACATAGTTTTGGATGGCCTGAAGTCGTGAGAAAAGTCTTTGCATGTTGTGGGCAGTGCCAGTCATGGAATAAAGCAAACCCACTCACCCTTCTAGCTCTCACTGCTCCCCAGATCTTCACCATGTACAAGACACGATGGTGCAGAGTTTGTTTCATCTCCAGATCCTCACATCTGGTCAGGGCCTTGCCGTACATGGCAGCCGCCTTGGAGAACTGGGATAGTTTGGATGTTTTCCTGCCTTTCTCAAGGTAGAAATCTCCAAGAGATTTGAGAACCTCAACCTCCAAGAACACGTCACCCTTGCCGACTGCAGTTACTAATGTTTCTGTGTAGGACTCCTCAACAGATTGCCAGAGTTTACCCACCCTTTTGTCTAATTTGTTGCAAATTTCTGCCACCCTTAAGACATTACTGTCAGCAGTGCCCCAGTAGTCTGGTGACAACCACTGATACTGTGGAGTGTACCCCTGCAGCAGTTGTCTGCAGAGTTTCTCCATGTAGTCAATTCGATGGCTAAGTGTTTCCCCCATGTCTGGCTCTTTGCAGCGCAGAAAGGCAGCAGCATACAGGGCAGCAACCGTGTCAAACTCTGCTGAATCCTTTCCCTGCTTACCTTTCTGTAGATGCAGGTCTCCAAGACTTTTTAGGACTTCTAACTCCATGAAGAGATCCATGGAAAGAATGGCTTCTCTCAGAGCCCGACCATACCCGACTTTGTGACTATGCTGACTCTTGAGGCACAGCTCCAAGTCCTGCAACTTGTCTGCCAGGCTGGTCATGTTGTCAGACATTTTCCTCTTTGATTTTTGCTCCAATGATCGACCTTTAGAGATTGGATAAAACAATATGTGACATTTTTTTTTACTTTTTGCGTGAAATATACATGTAGTATTCAGGGATAACCGGAATTTACATGATTGTATTGGTATATGTACCTATTTAATAGGCTTCACCTTGGTTTCAACACCAACTGTTGGCTAAGTTCCAGGGGATACATAAAATGAATCCACCGTGTAGAATTTATGGAACGTTCTCTTGGCCTGGGTGCCATATTCCGTAGTTTTCTAATGTCGCTAACTACCCAGACTAACGTTCTCTGGGATAGGACGTTAATCTGTAGGTCCCCTTGTTTGAGGAGAACCCGCCTTGATCACGTTAAAGATTCCGTCACACTTGTTGTAAGGAGTAGGGGTCCTTCCCGGTGGGTATTTGGTCTTACGCAGTCTATACTTCCACTACAACACTTTTGTGTTAAATCTTGTTTACCGCGTACAGGTCATGCGAAACAAACACCTATTCACGGACATACCTTACCTGCCACTCCCATACCAACAACCCCACTAGCACGTACAGTTGTTTCCATAGTTACAGTGTTTCCTTTGTCAGATCTACGCACACACTCACAGTACCCCTAAAACAATGGCCTTCAGAAATTTAAACCCCAGGCTGTCGTGGTTGGGTTTGTTGCGTACTTAGTAATCCTCGTATCGAGAACAGTCTTATCATTGCAATGTGTTGTTAGGAGACAGTCCCCCATGTTGGTAATTCTTATGATACGATTGACACAGTTGTAGTACTTTGTTTAGCATAAACATGTACTGAACGTGGGTTACATCATGACTTCAGTCTTATCGGGTTCGCGTTGTCCTCGGTACTGCTAACGTTCAATACATAGCAATACATCCGATCAGACTAGTCTTGATCGGATGGAAACTCTTCAGTCAGGCTACAACTAGTACAAGTAACGTTACAGGTACAACTGAGTAAAAACTCACTTCGCGCCTGGTGCAAGTGTGCGCGAAACCTCAGTTGTTCCGCTTATAGGCGTCTGTCGTGGAGTGTTGGAAACCCCCATATCGACAACAGTCTTTGATTCGTGATACGCAGTTATAGTACTTAACACAAAAACTACAACTGTAAATATGTGACGGGTTACTTACATGCAATTATTTGCTTGTACTTTGCATGCAATTCTTTGTCCCTGGAACTACTGAGGGTGAGAAATAATGCTGCTGGTCGTGTGAAAACTCTTTAACGGCTACATATTGTACCGATCGGTTGGTAGAACGGAGCAGGTAACTAGTACAGGTGAAACCGGAAGTCCCCAGGTGAGGTCACACCTGTCGTACCGCGCGGGGGTGTCTGGGAACGGGGATTGCCCAAGCGGGATGTTACCCGGGTGAAAGGTCACACTTGTTTCATTTTTATGTTTACCGAAGGAAAACACTAAGTTTTTGCTAGGTTTCCTCTTCCTCCAAACACTGACCTCTGACCTGGCCAATGACCTGATTTGACGTCTCTCACCATGTTAAACTGGAGGATTCGGTACCCAGGGCGACGCAATAAGGAAGTACTCCCCACTGTGGCTTCTCCAGCAGCTTGAATAGTGAATTGACCCCCATAACCACATAAACTTATAAACATCCTAGACGGTCCAGCCACCGAAAACAATGGCAGGGACAGATTAGCATAATAACTGTCACTCTTTTTGAACAAATTCAAATGTTTTTTCTATACTGGTTTTCAAACTAACAATATCAAACCATGCAGAATGATCGGGATAGCTGTAACTGAGTCACATAAATCAAGAAAATACTATCTGCAACTTTCAGTTTCTGGAAAACCAACCTTGTGGTCAAATTTCAATTTTTCAAACTGTCTTGTCAACATTTCATCAAAGCCTCTAATTATAGATATCTAAAATAGCAACCTCACAACTGAATTAGCTTGGATAGTAAGTGAGTCTAGAAATATGGGTTGCAATTGTGGTGTCAATTTGGTAGTATGAGAAAGCAGCACTAGTATACATGTAGACTGGATCTCTGTTAGAACTGTTCAAGTAACTGCCGGCCAATCTATAACACCACCAAACCTTGGCAAAACAGTACAGTGGTGTAATTACTATATTCTGGGTAAGGTGAGGCTATCTTCTTTCTGTAAAACAGACTGTACATGTACATAAATTCCTTATCTGTCTTCAATATGTTACAAACACAAAGTGTCTTCAAGAGCCCTGTGCCCATGTTACCACCACGGTAGTCAGGGACAGAATGGGGCCTGGTAGTTTACGTTAGCCGAATTTATTGGGTTCTTATATAGTGCAAGCCTGTTGCGTTAACGTTACATAATGTTGCAATTTTATAGTAGAAGGGATTTAGACTCATGTGTGACCATAGTTATATGAATGTATTTGAGTAATAATTAACAGAGCAGACCATATGCGAAGGTAAACACTATGCATTTGCTTTGAAAATGTTACCTTTCTAGTTACGTAAAGGCTATTGGACTACCTTTACTTCTTTACCTGCATAATATACGTGTAATAGCATAGTTACATCAAAGATAATGTCCTTGGTTACATGTAAACGTTTCCAGGCCAGGGCCACCTAAAAGCTCTGAAAATATTTTGTAGCGCCGTTGAAAGTATAACAGCGCTACCTAGCAACTTTTGTATTATTGCAAGCATTCTGGTTACCCGTCTCTAGCTCTTCAACCTCCTTGGTCCAACTCCAAGCAAATGACTGAGGGCCTACAAGTCCTTTCTCGTATTAAAGGCGTAATCAGGCCTTTTTAGTCTTCGTAATCCGTAGCCAGCCACCCAAAAGCTATGTAATTCGTAACCAGTAGTACATTAGCCGTAACGGTCCTATAAAATCATTGGTCCCAGCATGGAGGTAAAAAGAAAGAACGTTCTAGATTGCAGTAAAAAACAGTGCATTTGCACTCTTTTGACAGACACCCCATGAATGCAATGGAATAGCGTTCGTTCTTCTCAGAACAGGTCATTAAAAGTCAAGTTGTCTGGCCTCCTAAATTTACCGTTATGCGCTGTCAGGATCCCCCAATACAGACCCTAATAAGACTAATAACAATGTACGTTCCCCGTATTTATTTTTCAAACAGGTGTTGCATTCACTTCAATATTTTGTTGCTGAATGGCACACATATTTCTGAAGTCCTTGAGTAAAGTAATGCAACAAGTAAGAAAAGGGCGAAAGTTTCGCAAAGTTTTGTTCGATCGAAATTGGGCGAGTCCATTTTCCTATTGAGGGCCCACCGGTCAATAAAGTAACTATAACAGCCTTTCGCAAATTTAGCAAGATCCGTAGGTTGTTTGAAAATTGCTGTAAATTAGTAAAATCATCAGTATTTTCTGTAAATTTATTTATAGAAGTAGACATTCGTACTAAATTTAATTTTGAAAACAGACGAGTGGTATGCGCTAACGAGGAAATGACGTAATTTGTCAGAACTTCCGGAAGTCTCAGGTTACTACCGATGTGATGTTGTATGTAGAGAGTTCGGAGCGAGCGATGGATATTTTCCAACACACTCGGCTTCGGACGGGATTTTTGCTCATACCCTGGCCTACAAGACATCCAAAAGGCCTACAGATGAACTGGACTGTGTTACTGTTCCTCCTAGCGAGCTTGTGGAGCGTTGGTAAGTCGCGAATTTCTAAAATTACCGCAAAATCGGCCGATTAAGTTGTGAACTCGGCGAACTGACTACAGCTGAGACGATCGCCTAGCACTAGTTGACCTAAAACTGTCCCACACTTGTTATTTTTCCTCGCCTCTCTTTATTTATTTGAGCTCCCCATGTATATCTAAGCTGCCAGAATTGTTAATTGTTAGAAGTATGAGAAAAATCCTAACCCTCGTCCGAGGTATGGTTGTTCTACCTCCATGCCTTAGGCAAAATACCACAGCTGTAGTTGGCCTAGCCTCCGTCTTGATAGAACTGGGGGTCTGGTGGTCTTCGGCTGTTTTCTGATCATCCCAGTTCTATAAAACTTGGGTAATTCAACCAGGCCGGCTATGTTGTCTATATGAATCAGAAAATAGCACATAAAAGCTCCCAAAGACCACGAAGACCCCCAGTTTTTGGCATGCTACGGAGGCTAAGCTGTAGCGCTGGCCAACCATTTCCTAAAGTTCATCTGTCCGGAAGTCATCAGCGTTTCCCCCAGGCATGAGGCCTGTTCTCAAAACATCTGTGTCTAGCTACAAGCACGGAAAATTGGGCAGGCTTCCTCTAATTTGTGTCAAACCCCTTTCAGTAACGTTCAGGGATTCCACACAAGTCCAGGGTTAATTCTTAGGGTAAATTTGATTATCGTGTTTTTGAAATGGAGTGACAGTTGGCTTACGTGAGGTCTTGTAGTTGTACCATTGAACTTTTTTTTTCTATACCACCTCTGTCGTTTATTTTACTGACTTTTCAGGTTTGAAATTTCTAGCAATGTCGATTTTATAAAATGTCTATTTTGTAGTACTGTATGAATATTGTACTGTTGTCATTTTTTGTCAGGCATGTTCAATTTTTGCGAGGCATGTTCGAACTTCAATACAGGAAGTGTCCAACATGCTCGAAATATCTGCACAGTTGGGCAATATTCTCTTTGATTTTTTGTATTTCTGAAGTTATTTGGCTGTAGAACATGGAGAAGCCATGCTTTATGTAGATTCGTAGTTATTTAGAAAATCTACATTTGTATTGTACCAGTTTCATTTTTTATTGTGACCTCTGGTATTGTATTAATGAAGCCATTGTTGCCACTAATTATAAGACTCGGTAATTAGCCTACTTAATGACAGATAAACAAAGTAAACAAAGACACCATATAGCCCACTTCACAAGTTTAATTTGTTTGCTAGTCACACTTCTAAACAACATTTTGCGTGTTTTGAGAGACAACACACACATTTTACCACCACTTAGTACAACACATCAACCTACCACAGACCACAACCTTGTACTGTTTTCTGTGTTTAAATAAATGCTTTCCTTGTTCAGAACTTATTAAGAGTGGCAGAAAGAGTACAACATGAGCAAGATCTTATCAACATCTCTGAATTAACTGCAAGAAAAACAAGATATCAGTTTCCCCTAGGCTTCTTCCTGGGGGCATTTAAATTGCAGTGCAGAGTGATGGTGTCATGGACCCTTGAAGAACAAGGTAGGGGGTAGGCTGTGAGCAAGCATGTTTTAAGAGGGCCTGCAAGCCCTTTTTCGTAAGGCGTAATCAGTCCTTTTCAGGCTTCGTAATTCATAGGCAGCCTCCGCAAAAATCAACGTAATTCATAATAGGACATTAGCTGCAAATCGTAAAGTCATAATCAGCTCTGAGACTTAAACCTAATTCGTAATCGGTGGCAAAAATTTTGCGTAATACGTAATCACTACCCCCCCATGCAGGCCCTCTTTTAAGTGGGTGTATTTGGACTTGAAGTTGAGCTATTACAAGTTTACAACATCCTGCCAACTTCTGAGGCTTTGGAGGTAAAATATGTTGTAAACAGGACTGTTTCTTTTTTAGTTGAAGTTGAAGTTGTGTTACACGACTTTCTGTTGCTGTTTTCTTAGTATTTTATGTTGACCACTAGATACTGTATCTAGAAAAAGAGTGAGAGTATATTTGTGTGTGTGTGAGTGTGAGTGTGTGTGTGTGTGTGTGTGTGTGCATACGTGTATGCTTGCGCGTTCGCTGTCCAAAGTCATAGCTCTGTCCAAAGTTACAGTTTGTTCCTTGTAGAAACTATACATAACTTGCATGCATAATCAACAGTGAGCTCCTACTATATACCTATACACAATTTCATGGTCTTGCCTGGTCCACTTTCTATATAAGTGAAATCTGTGACATGGGTTTAATCATAGCCAGTGTTGTTAATAGCCCAAGTCTCTGGGGACACTGGCCATAAGGGCAGCACTGACTGATGTATCAGGGCCTGGGCTACACAGAAACATATGGAGCATGTACTCAACTCAACAGTTTAGCAGACCACACAGATACACTGTGTAAAGTGGCCTTGTAGGCTGTATGCAATGTAATTATAATGACAGTGTCTTAGTACATTGGTAAATGTTAGACATCTAGGTAAATGATAGATACACTAGATTAAACTTTACGACAACAATGTACACAACATGCTTTGAAGTTAGAGGTTGATTTATCCAAAGAGGTAGTTATGTGTCTATAAACACAGTGAGTGCCTTTTGGCGAAGGTTTAGACAACCAGGTTAAAAGTATCTAACTACAATTTAAACTTTACAACTGCACAAGATCCATTAAAGTTAGAGTTTAATTTATCCAATGTTTTATTTAACATAGTACTTATCGTAAATACAGTGTCTTCTTGTAGTCTCTACCAGACTAACTACGCTGGCTATATATAGGAGAATATTTGCCAGGGGAGTTTGGCCGCCTTGTAGGTTTGACTGTCCGCGCAAAAAAAAAAAACTACCTCCCCGCAGCCGGACTCCCTTGGCCAATTTTACTCCCTTTTTTGCCGAATTCTACGATCCATATTACCGTAGAAAGGCCTGGTGGAGGCTAGTCTTCTTCTGACACAGACTGACAGAGAAACCTATACAACCTCCTTGGAGAAATTTAAGCAGGGGAAAGAATGTACTAATGGCTCATGCCGTGATGGTTTTAAAGATCTTGTAAACAGAAATGGTTTCTGCAAAGTAATGGAACCTACACTGACCAAATAGCGTGTCCATGTTTAATTCTGTCAGTACTCAGTCCTGAATACATGTTGCGGAGGTTTCCAAAAAAATTCTTAGGGGAGAGGTGCTCCCTAATCGGTTGATGAAAAATCAGTAAATTTTCATGAAAATACAAAGAGAAAACCCTTAATCATAAGTAAATGTGAACATTTTGGGAGAGGTGCTGGGATTTTGGGGAGAGGGGGAGCACCCTTGCTACAAGTTGCTTGGGGAGAGCCCTGATGTTGTGTTAGTCAACGAATGTTCAGCCAAACTTCTGTTGGCCAAAGTTAAAAGTGAAAGAAGTTGACGTGGAATTTTAAACACCCGCTACCCACCGTCAGCAGAGTTCAAGTTTGAATTTGCAGCTGCCATGTTGACTCACGTTGTTGAGTTTTTACACTCACTTCCGTTTCCTTATTTTTTCTGATACTCAGAGCCTGGTTTGACCAAACATACATGTACTAGTACTTCAGTTCTTTCATCAGAGAATGTTGTCTCTACTTCAGATAGCCAAGCTTGTGATATGTTTTCCTGTCTTTGGTTCAGTTTAAGTCCTGGTATTTGGTAGCCTGCCTAGGTAAATGCCCTATAGAATAAACTGTGTACTCAGTCTCGGTAAAAACAATGTGCGTATTCTACGTGATTCTAGAATGGCAGCCAGAGGTGTGGATAACATAGCCTCTACCAGGCTTTGGGAGGCGGCTGGAAAGAGTAGAAATTGGCCAAATAGAGAGAGATAACATGCCGAGGGTACAGTACTGCCTTCAGTTTAACTGTCATTTGGTAGCCAGCCTTGGTAAACTACCCAGTTGAGTAGAATAAACTGTGTACAACAACATATGCATTCTACGTGATTCTAGAATACCAGGGGTGCGGATAAGTACTTCCTGACAGCTTCCCCCTTGCATGATTCAGCTGATATCTCCTTTCTTGTCAGCTTGTCGTTCAAGTAAATGATAGATACAGCTGATTATTAACTTTACGAGGCTCGTTTCCTTCTTTTTTCTCATATTCAGTACAACATACATGTACCTACATGTACTTCAGTACTTAAACATAAATCAGAAATGTCTCTACTTCAGATAGCCACTTAGCTTGTGATATGTTTTCCTGCCTTTGGTTCAGTAAGTAGGCTGCCCAGTTGATTAGAGTAAACTGTGTACTTTGCCTCGGTAAAAACAATGTACACATTCTACGTGATTCTAGAATATCAGGGGTGCGGACATAAGTACTTCCCCTCAGATGATTCATTCCTAAGTGCAGCTAATATCTCCTTTCTTGTCAGCTTGCTTTGTAAATCCGCCGATCGAGTGTCGGATAGTCTTACGCCGGTTTAAGACTCGTTGTACTGCCAGGGTAAATAAGTAAACAAAGGTGTTTGCACAGGGCACAGGTAAGCATGGGGCACGACGCTTCAGGTTACCTGGACGGAGTTGTGTTCTTAAGGTACGGAAGGTGTTACCTGATGTCTCAAGTGGGTATTATTCAAGGAGTTGTATCTGATTTCTGAGTAGAGGTGGACATAATGTTTGTACATGTTGTGAAGAAAGTTAAATAGACGCTACAATGTAATGTTTTTTTTCCAAAATCAGGCAAAATTTAATGCACAAACTGATGTCATCCATAAAAATTACTTGATGTGGCCTTAGTGCTGTTAACAATTGAAGCTGTGCAGGTACATGTACCTTAAGAGAATTTGATGTTGATAGTTCCTGTTTCACAGTTTTTCTTTGTTATCAAAATTGACAAGGCCAAATGGACAACAGTAGATCATTGTATCAGTGTTTGTGTTGGACTAAAAAAAGGAATAAAAATGAGTTGTGCAGCCAGGTAAAATTTGTCTGGTGCAGGTAATTTTAAATGTTACCTGCACGAATACAATGCATGTATTCACGAAATGACGTACCTTCTATCGTTCTAATTATATATACGTAATGCGACCGCGCGCGTCGACCGTGCGAGTAGGAGAGTTTTCGGTAGAAGGTAGAACGATAGAAGGTACGTCATTTTCTCTAATTCCAACAAAAATGCAATTATGGCATGCGCTTTATATTAGAGAAATAATTCAAAACAATAGTTGACCAGTTTGTCGATAGAACTTGTTGGAAATATACATTGAGGAAGGGGGAGGGGGGATGGTCTTACATCATATCCGTGACTTTTACTAGGCATTATGGGAAGTGTGAAATTGGTGAATGACATGCAATGATCATGTGATAGCCATGTGAAAAACGCATGTACTCGCCATGCCTCTGGACTTGAACCTGTCGTTAACGTACTAATTAGTGGCCTTGTCTTACAACAACCACTGCCGACCCTAAGTGCTCAAAGATTGACTTTCGATAACAATGTTGTTGTTACGGGAAACAATGGTCTAGTACACATATGTCAGTGTGATTAATTATAATACATGCTGTACATGTACTTGTATATAGAGTAGACCATTGTCTTCATTGTACGGTCAGACTTGTTGTTTTGCTTTAACTTTAAGGGGGGCCTGCATGGGGGGGGGGGGTCCAGACAATGCTGTACTTAATTGTTAGAGGTCCCGATTACACTTTACGATAAATTCCAAGTATCTACAACGTATTACGTAGAATTAAAATGGCGACTACGCTCTACACAAATGCGCCAATTACGCTCTAACGTTGAATTAGAGCGGTCTGTCTATGCTCTATGCAGAATTAAAACGGCCCATTACACTCTACGGAAAAGGGCTTGTGGGCCCCCTTTAGCTTTACTCAGTGCACATTTCTTTACAAAGAACTCTCTTTCCTTAAATTTTGTCATCTGAGAAGAGAGATGAAACAGAAGTTGTCCTGTTGAGAGTGCTGGAAACAATGAAACAATTTATCACATTGCAGATGTTCCATTTCCAATAACTCTACTAGTAGGAAATAAAGCTTGCCACAGGCAATATCATATTTGTCACCTTTGCAATATTTGGAACCACAAGTGTAAAATATATTGACAGATTTCAGTCCACTCTTTAAATGACTTTATTTTATTGTTCTTCCAGTTCCAGATTTGTTGCATGGAGGTTGAATTGTCATCCTCTGTTGTTACAAGGTAAATGTATTGGAATAAAAAGCTGCCAACATCAGCACATTCTTGTGTTGGGAAGTATGCCAACCAGGTGATTCTTACAGCAAGACGGTAGTAGAGAGAGAACTGCTAGATTTTGCTAATACAGAATTCATAGCATATGTCAAAACAAGACAAGACTTAGTTGAGATAGTGGACTTTAACAAATCTTGTGAACTCAGAAACACAGACAGACAGAGACATAAACAGATGCACACACACACACGTTCACACATACACATAAATGAAATTATTCTGTGAAGAGAAGGAATGGTTACAGGTAAGCTATCTCGAGACTGTAACACCCCCTGTGCTTCCTTGCCAATCCGTGTGTTAGGACCACAGACAGACACACACACATACACACTAGTACATGAACACAGATACATAGACATACAGATATGCTGAAACAATACTTAATTCCCTTCCAAGGATTATTAAAGCATTGACACAAACAATTCCCAGCTATTCCCTGAAACTAGTGAAAGAGAAGGAACAGTTACAGGTAAGCTACAAATGTATGCCTGTAACTCCCCCACACATCCTGCCTGGCCCCACAGACAATAGACACCTGGTGTACCTGTGCCCTTGGTTAGTGACCCAGACTGTAGAGAGCACACCTGGATAGGCAGGCATTGTTACCTTACCTGGGAATGTTACCAGGTGAGACATTGCTGCGGTATACCTGTGTATGTGTCAACAGGCTGGGAGATACTTCTACGGCTCTAAATACCATACATTCTGTTTCATTTATACTGTAACAATTTAAACTTATTGTAACAAGCTTGTATTTTCATAGCTTCACAAATTTCAGGTTTTTTGACATTTGTTTTGTACAAATATAAGTACAGCTTCTAGTTTTACCATAAATTGCAGGTTCTTTTCTAGTCTAGAGTTGAACTTCACTTTTCGGTTCAAAGTCTAGGTTGCCACCCCCCCACACCTTTCAGACTGTTACCTTCAATGATGTTATCTTTTGCATAAACAGGTCTACAATGTATGTCGACAGGTGGACACTTGTACACGGTTGACTGTAACTATATAATCATTTTTGATATATGTATGAAATGATTAAGAAAAGCTTCTATGATGTTATCTTTTGCATAAAAAGGTATTTTAATGTAAATTTTATTGTAAATTTTTGTGTTGCCTACCCCTGTGACCAATGCAACTTTAGCACTATTAACTATAAGAATATAGATTTTAAAAGATAGCTAAAACTTAAAAAGCACACCACAATTTCACAGTGTCAGAAAGTACAATGTCATGTAAACCAGGATTTCCGTATTGGCAGTACAGCGGATACATTAGTCTATCTGGCAGACATCTCAACTGGCCCTCCACCACGCCCACACTTCCTCTGTCCTGTAGTATGTGATATCCACCTACATGTACATACATGTAATCTCACACCAATTTAGTCTCTTGCTTCTGGAACATTTCATGATAAAGACATTGATAGCAGACATCATAAAAGCTGAGGGCAGGTAGGAAAACTTGAGCATGACTGTTTTCACTGCATTAAAACATTTTAAGAGAAGTCAAAGTTTATTGCACAACGATTGTAACAGGTACAATGTATGGCAGATATAAAATTACTAGCTGGTATGGTTCTATATATCAAAATTCTACATATGTATTTAACGGGCACTATGTCTATCATAATATTGAATAAAACTACTGACTAAGAACTAGTACACCTCTACAAGTATGTTCTAAGCTACACTCTAAACTGATGATGACTGCAGAGTGCTTCATGTCTTCACATTTCGTTTTAATATATATATATACCTTTCCAGTAATCAAAATATTTTTCAAACATCTGAGAACCAACAAATTACAAAATGTAAATTGGTGTGTCCTATTAAGGACCACTCCAAACATTCCTGACTGCTTAAACCATCCAGTTTCACTTTCAAAACCTAGTAGGTCCAAGGACATGAAGGAGGTCCAAATTCCACCCAGACCCTCCTACCCACCCACTCACACATAAGGTCCCAATTTCCTGTACCATTGTTTATAATGTCCCAACCCTCTAGGGGGAATTGGTAACATCTGTACATACACAAGCGTGCTGTACATAATGTACTACAACATGTTATTGCATGTATGTATGAATTATAAGGATCCATGAACTTGATTTAACATGCAGATATTAAAGGTGCCATTATATTTTTACAATGGTTATGATGTAAAATTGAATACTTATATGGTATTTCGTTTAATTGTGGTAAAACTTTTATACACTTGCATTGGGGCTAACTCATTTCCTGGCATGTGGCTTTGCACCACATTGCCATATAGCACCAGAACTACATGTAAATATACAAATATACAAACAGATAACTTTATTAGATATTAGATATGTCTATGAAACTATTACTTCCTTCCTCTGATCATATGCATTTGGTTGTGCCAATAAATTTGAGAAAACTCTAGACGTTTGAACTCTGATGTTTTCTGGAATGGGCCTGGCTAGAAACCTGATCCGAATGTGGCACATTTATTTCTCCCAGCCCTGCCTGCTAAGCCTTGATAAAAGCATGACCCATTTCCTAATCTTATCCCGAATTCCTGTGTGGCCAGCTTTGATACACATCAGGAAAAATGACAGGACCCAAAATGACCTGGAGTGAACCCTTTCAATTTTCAGGGGTCTTTCCAAAAATCCTTGGGGTAGAAGTGCTCCCTATAGCTAATCGGTTGAAGAAAAATCAGCAAGTTTTCATGAAAATTCTTAGAGAAAATACTAAGCCCTAAATTTGTTTTGAGAGCTGAATTCCAGACCCTATTCCCAAAGCCATAGCTTTATATCAACATAAAAGTTATAATAATCACCTTGTTTCATCTTCTGAACAGTTTTTTTGTCTGTATATTGCTTTCCTCAGCACATGTATATTTTATTCGTACTACAGAAATGTCTTTATATCAACATAAAAGTTATGTATGATAATCACCCTAGTTCATATGTTGAACAGTTTTTTGTCTGTATATTACATTCCACAGCACATGTATATTTTATTATTTTATTCATACTACAGGAATGGATTTATATCAACATAAAAGTTATAATTAATAAATCACCTTATATCAACTTTTGAATACTAGTAGTCTTCTTACCCTCTTATCTGAATATTATATTCCTCCTCACCACATGCATATTTCATTCCTTCTACATGAGAAAAATGCGAATCAATTTCCCAATGTCAATATCCTTTTGTTGTGCATTTTACACGTTGTCAGTTAGAATTACTGATGACATTGTATCCTTGGATAACTCATCTAAAGCTGTCTATTGTTTCATTGTTTACCTATAAATCCTCTATGAGTATCAGATATATCCTCTTATAGAAAAGTATTCG